AGCCCTTTACCTGTGGAAATCTTTTCACTCAATCCTAGCACATATTTTATTAGAAAGATCCAAAAACTGAAACAGGCTGTTTGCTAAAAGACTCAACATATTGTAAACTAGACATGATAGGTAAACTTTTCAAAGCATCTGTACAGGATTAAAATTGCCTTCTTTATAGCCAAGGGGAGCTTACTCTTAACCTTGACAGAAGTGTTGAGTGAGCTTGGGTTAACTATGAGCACTTAAGAAAATCTCAGGCAAGRTGATGAAACAGTAAGACTAAGAATGCTGACAGAAGAGGTGATGCACTAATACTGATTTATTTAGCTTGATCCAATGCATTAATGCTTATTTGCTGCATACACAACCCCAACAGCATAAATTAAATTGGTTCCTTCTCCAAATGTAAATTGGAAGATACACCTAAGCTTCACTTCAGTTTCACTTCACAGCATCCCTGGAGATTGTCAAAACACATGTACAGCTCCTTGCCAATACATCAATATATGAGGTTTTCTCATTTGCAAGAATGAATTACTCAGTTACAAGTTTCCTCAGTTACTCTGGAGCACGTGTTAGTGTGTATCTGATGGGCACAAGGGTCATTAATGAGCATCAACTAATTAATTCATACAAAAAGCAAGAGCAGAAGAAAAAAAGAATCTGACAATATACTGAAACAACAGTCTAATGGGAAAAAGAAGCAATAAGATTGCTTTTCTGTTTACACAGACAATTGCCAAGGAGATAAAAATWGCTTTTAAAATTCTTCTATTCAAAACAATAAATCTTCTAACAAGACAAACCGTATCAGTTRGAGGTAACGAGTGATACTTGGGCACTCCAGTTGTCCTTCATATAAACAAATAYTTGACTGTAAACAGATCTCAAGTGAAAACTTAGTTGCATATGGCAGTGCAGGGAGCGCTTCAAAATACACTAACCATRTGTAATTAACTGTATCCTAGAGGAACCTCCTGACCTTTGCCATACAAGTGACATTTCCTGGTGAGAATTAAGTCACACTACTGCTGATATTCTCAGTTGGCAGGCAAAAGGAATGTGGAGTCTAAACTACTAATAGCTTTCCAGATGTGGAAGTTACTTTCTTTGAAGGTCAAATCATGCTGCTATGTCAGTGCAGGGAAGATAGCACTGCACCCATTCCTTCACCACAGAGAATATTTTAGTTGTTAGTGGCAAGGCCTTTGTCCTGCTCTGGTCAACAGGAGTCTGGCCTCTGAGTTCACTGGCGTCAGACTTTTACTGAGAGACACTACTTAAAATTTTTACTGACTTTGGGAGTCTATGAAGCCTCCAAAACCCAGGTAAGTTAAGGTGAGTGTCTTGTCTGCTTGGTTGATTTTAAAATAGCATGCATAGACTTAAATTATGAAAGAGAATAGACTTTCCCCATGCAATAAAAATACAAAAATTAAACAAACATTTTCAGATGATGGTACAAGGCAATTGTAAAGATGCTAAAAGAARAGCTGGTCAGCTCTGAAGAAGAATATTAATAAAGAAAAAAAAATSACAAAATTAAGTCTACAGAATCATAAGTAGGAAGTTTTCTCAGTTACCCTAGAACRCATATTAACATATAAATATGGGCAACAAGACCCAACAATTAGTATCAACAGAATGCCTATACTGACGACATAATGCAAAAATAACAATTGCATCTTCTTTGTGTTTACAAGTGGCTTTATCAAGCTGCAGAATCAAGTGCTTACAAGTAGGTTTCCAGTCTGCTCCAGAAAACAATAATCACTGTCTGTATAAAGCTTTTTCAACGGTTCCAAACAAGACCAACTGCGGGAAGTTGAAAACAACTAACAAAGTATCTCAAAGATCAGAGAGGATTGCATCTATGYATGTTTTTCAAAATATAAGATGCAGGCATGATTTTATTGTATTGTGATGCAGGTTGAGGAGAAAACTTGACAGAGAGTTAAGGCATTTTGTCTTGGAATGGAAAACTACAGGTAGTGAATTCTGTAAGCCATTTAGAATGGACATACTCCAAGATGAGAAACAGTACTATAAACTCTAGGAAACAGATACTTAAGTAATTGGAGAAAAAAAGCATTTATTTGCATACAGCAGCATCCCTGATAGGATGCTCACGTACACAGATGTATGAACACATACATATGGGAAGAACGGATTCCAAGATGGCAGGTTCCATTAATGGACAAAACCACCTCATTCCCTGGCCAGAGAAGGCTACATGTGTATTAGCAAGCAGTACAGAACAATAAAAAAGGAGTTATAGACAGATACACATCATGATAAGGGTCTCATGTTCAGACTACACACAACCGGAAGGTTTCACTTCTCACTGGTTCTAGTCTGGTCCTATGGACTCTGCAAACACCCAGAGACCATTTTCCAGTTTAGATTCACAGGAAAGAAATCTAATTCAAACACTCCCATTCACTTTAAAAACACATTCTTAATCTGAACTTGAAGTCACACATACACATCCAAAGTATCCTGTGTCAGCATCAGCTGTATTTGAAATAAAATTCCACGAGTTCAGTGAGTTTGATGCCAAACTTACAGAATCACAGAAAAAATTAGGTTGGGAGGGACTTTCRGAGGTCATCTAGTCCAATCTCCTGCTCAAAGTAAGGCCAGTTTCAAGGTATAATCAAGATCTTGAGATCTCAGGATTGAGCTGATCTCTGAGATCTGTTCAAGGTCTTACACTGTTAAGAGTTATGTGTCTCTGAGAATGGAGATTCCACATCCTGTTTGGGCAACCCTACGTGTCTGCAAACTCTCATGGCCAGTGCTTAACCTGTCTTGTGAAATTTTAAAATTATATTCAATCACACTTTCCCTCACTACAACTTGTGGCTGCCACTTCTCTTCCAACACACCTATAAGAAGAGTCTCATTCCACCTTTYCTAAGTCTGAAAACTTGGCCTTCTATCCTCCAAGAACAAACTCAGTTGTCTCAGCATTTCCCTGTAGTTTACATCAAACTAGCCACTTTAGTGGTGCTCCACAGGACTCTAATTTGTCAATCTTTCCCTTGTACTAGTGGCATACAGARCTATAGACTACTTTAAATACAGCCTTCTAGTACCAAGCACAGGGGAATAATCACTTCCCTCAGCCTCCTTGCTGACTTTGCTCTTGATGAAGGAGTCTTGTGTGATGGCTAGTCTTCATCTTCTTACTTGTCTATCAAGACAACCAGCTTCTTTTCTCCAGAATTGCAACTGGCCAGTCAGTGCCCATCTTGTGTTATTTTGTGGGAATTTTGAATCCCAGGTGCAGGACTTTACATTTCCTTCTCCTGAACGACATGAAGTTCTTGCTGGCCCATTCATCCAGCTTGCTGGGGTCTCTCTAAAGGCAGGCCAACTCTCCTCTGTCAAATTATCCCAAGGTCTGGAGTCATCCTGTTTTCTTGCTTCAGGCACCATTCAGAAGGTCATGGAACACTAATGGATAAGTGAGTAAATGAAGTTAATTCACCTACAAACTTCATGAAAACACAGTCACTCCCAGCACCCAGATCACTGACAAAGAGGTTAACAGAATTGATCCCACTGTCAGCCCTGAGAAACATAATTCCTATTTAGCCACCAGCTAGATAGACATCAAAACTGAGACCACAATCCTCTTAGACTGGTGGTCCAATCTTCCTTTCAACCACCATGTGCAGGTCACTCATTCARTGCATACCTTCCTAGCCAGCCACAAGAATGCTAAGAGACCGTGCTGCAAACCTTGCATGAGTCAGTTAAATGAAATCTGCTGCTGTCATCCACAGAGACAGCCATTTTATCATAGAAGGCAASGATCAAGTTGGTTAACTTGATTTACATGTAGTATAGCCAAACTGGCTGCTCTCAGTTACTTTACTGCATTTTGTGCATTTGGCTTACCACAGACTACCAAACCTGACAGAGAACAGACTCTCAAAGACATGGTCTGGCTCCCTCAGTACTCTCACACATATCCCATCCAGCTCCATGGATTTGTGGAGAGCACTGCCGGGGCTCAGTCCCTTCACATGGGATCACTAAGCCCCATAGTCATCCTTAATCTGCTGAATTAGAGCACACATGAGAGAGCAGCAAAGTCCAATGATTGGCCAGGTCTTGGCAACCTCTGTGATCCAGTCCTTGAGGAAACAGCACACTTTGGAAAGCAKCAGGTCTGTTCAGCACATGGATGTCTCCACTTCCTATACCAGGGAGTCTTCAATACCAGYTTACCCATTGCATCTTCTTAGGGGCACTGGTTAAGAATAGTTGATTGAGCATAGCTGGTCTAAACACCTCTCTTGCCAGAACTCATTCCTCCTTTCCTGTTTCCAGATGTACACATTTTATTAAATCTATATTATTAGTAGCCTCACATATTTCTGTTACTGAGGATAACACGAAATATGGGTTTCTTTCCATTAACTTACCTGAAACAAACTGTTTGAGGTTGGAAACGTTGTATTTCCTAACACTGGTGCCTAAAATTCAGGCTTCTCAAGGTGGAAACATAAGACATAAGCAGCACAAAGCCAGCTGCTTATTAACACAGAAAAAAAAAAAAAAAAGCAAGTAAATACTCCTTAAGTCGCAAAAAAAAAAAAAACCAAGAAAATCTTACATGTGTACAAACATTAAACTAAAAATACATACACAGAATGCTCCATAGAACAAGTTATGTCAATTATTTGTCCATGTTGTGATGCATACTGTTAATATTGAGTTTGTGCACAAACCTTTAATGCCAGACTTCACAGATCTTGCTGCGGTCAGGAACACAGCCAAAGCCATAAATGTAACACCCGATTTTCAGGGGAGATGAGAATGTGGAAAAGAGTTTGGGAAATTCTTCTATAAGGATGCCTTTGAATCACTCCAGATAACCAGAGAACATTTCCTGTAGCCTCCAGTTATTAGGATGTGGCAGGAGGGCATTCCTTCATCTCCAGGTCAACCCAGTGAGGCCAAGGCTGCTAAGCCCATCCCTTTCCTTCAGACACACATGGGAGGGAACTCCCCCTTCTGTCACTGGACTGTACAAGAGAGGGGAGGGAAAGAGAAGAAAGAAAAAACTACCGTCTTCTGTCCACCATTTTAAAGAGAGGAAAGGGGACTCCTCTGCTGCTCTCCTGTCTCCCTATTCCAAAGGGAAAAGGCAAGAGATCAGGCTGTTTCCTCACTGCATTAGATGGGAGAGGAAGCAGGATAGGAAGAGGGCAGGAAGCAGCCAACAAAAGGTAAGAAGAGATACTAAAACTCCCCATATACTAATGCTTTTGCATTTGAATCCAAATTCTTACAAACCCACAAGCCAGCTGTGGAAAAAGAACTTCAGAAAAGCTGGGAGGGGATGGAAGGATGTCTGGCTTTCTCAGCTAAGTACATGTTTTCCTTTGTTTTGTATTTGCATGCTTCATCCGAAGTATTACACAACATGAAGCTTTATATTGCTATATGAGAACACACACTCCCCACACATGCAGAGAAAAACCTCAGCCACACTAAAATCTGTTCAAATGAAAAAAACTTCACCCAAGTCTAACAGGACACTAATGTTAACTAGGCACCACGAACAAAAYTATGCATTAGAAAATATTCCCCGCCTAGCCGTGAGACGACAGCTTTCCCATTGCAATTTTCTTGCCCTAAATTCACTAACATTTGTCAGAAAGCAGCAGCTGCTCCAGGATTCCTTTGGCAAAGGCCAAATATCACTTTTTTGTTTCTCAGTATGCTGCGATTTCCTGTGGAATGAAAAAATCATCTATACTATGAAGAGGTGTCATACTAACACTTTTAGAAGTAAATTACTTTATAGTACATGAACTGTGGAGAGAAATACAATACTTGGGCTGAGTAATTCCCAGATGGAGAGATTATAAAAACAATCTGATAAACAAATATTATTTGTAATTTTTTTTATTCAGTGCAAAAAATATGGGGTAACTGTCTGCTGTTCCTAGAAAGAAGGGAATTTTCTTGCCAACAGCTGTAGTTTTTTGTAAGAATTATAAGACTATATTGAAGATTTATGTTCCTGACAAAGGCATAAAGCTATCCAAACTAGGATGGAAAAAACTAGAATAGCCTTTTCCCAATGAAACAGACACAGATTATTTCTGTTAACTCTTCCTGTGGCAGATCATGCTGCAGTTGATGTTTATAATGATTAAGTCTAGCAATGCCATTTGGAACAGGGTGAACTGGTTTATCACAGGTCATTACACAAGCAAGAAAGAAATTCTATCATCTTTAAATCAATCAAAGTCATAAATACCTCCAAAAGCACAGGACTTTAAACTTCCTTCTTGAGATTTTGGGGTTTTCCAACCATATTTTCTCTAGCTTATGAAAAAGTTTCCCCAAAGCTGTGGTTATCTGACAGATCCATAGGAGGGAGGAGAAAGGTGACCCTAGGCAAAGGTTATCCTTGCATAAAGTCAACAAGAAAGGGAAAGAAATCTTGGGTCTCTCTGCTTCAGTTACACAGATGCAAGGGCCCTTCACCTGCCGGCACATCACCCTCCTAATTCTCATGGAAGAACTTATTCCTTATGCTCTGCAGGATTAAGGTCTTCTGCGTTCATTTGAACTACATCAGGTAACAGTACATAGAACTATTATTTTTAAGTCAACTGACATTCAGCAATAAAACTCAGGATATCAAGAGGTTTTAAAGTTCATTTATTTGCAAGCAGCCAAACAGCATAGTCTGGGTTGAATCCTGGGCAATTAAAAGTTCCAGTCCATGCTGTTTCATGAACATTACACCGAGTTACACAACTTGAGAATCAATAAATCTATTGCCTTAAAAGAATTTGCTCAAAGACTCACARTGAGTCAGTGACAGGGTCTTGATTAGGTCTCCTACTTTGGCTTCTGTTTTGTAGCTGCTTGGTCCACCAGATAATATTTAAACATACACAAAAATACTTTTATTTCTGACTTTCTGAAATTGTTGTTTGTTTGATTTGTTGGTTTGGGCTTGTTTTTTACTAGGAAAAGAAAATAAATTAAAAGTTTCTAAATAATTACAGTTGTGATTTTTTTCTTTAACTAGCAACCAACCAATCCYATTTCTCAGCTGAAGCAAAGACAGAAAGCCTGATCTCTTTGAACTGAGTGCAAAATAATTCAAAGGCCTACACAAAAAAATCACTGTGTCCATGCCAGTTTTTGGATTTAGACAGAGATAATCTCATAGTCTATTTAGTTACTGACTTTAAAAATCATATATGTAAACATTGAGAAGCAAAAGACTAAAATAAAACCTTCCTTCAAGGATCAACTTGCTACCACTCCTTAGTAGTCCTGCAAAGAGGTCTGTAAAAACTGGGGTTATTTTTCTTGAGTTAAYAGAATTTTAATTGAGCATAAGCAAGTGACCAGAAAGCATTCTATTTCCATGGTATATATGATTCAAAGAAAACAAAAATATTTAAAAATCTGAGGACATAGAACCAACTTCCATTTAAAAAGTTTTAGGGTCTAAAAGAAGGRTAGTGTATATGCACCAGGCTTTTTTCATCACAAATAGCTTATTTAAAACAAATTACCATTGACAAATAATAATTTATAAGAATAGTTTCCAATAAGGCACAAGTTAAGTTATCTAGCATGACAGCAGAGAACACATCTAATTTTAAATTGCTTATAGTTTCATTAGAGTCAATGGCTTTTTCCATGCTTAAGGCTAAGCATATGCTCATGTACTCTGCCAAGACAAAAACTTCCAAGTCTGTCGTTAGAGTGCAAAGYGAAGCTTTTTATTCCAGACCACATTTTCTTGCATGTAATCAGCGTTGATGATGCCACCATAGCTTCCAATTCATTCCAGGGCACACTCAGCATTTATGAGGGTATAGATGGTGCTCTCTTTCTTTGGTTTCTAAAGAACATGCCTAAATATTAAAACAATCTAGGCTTTCTGCCTCTTATCCTGCTCTTACACTCTGTATTGCCACCATAAAAAAAAACAGTAACCTTTGATCTAATCTGGAAGCCTTTTCTAATTTASATACAAAATTTGGCAATAGGACTATCAAGTACAGTCAATCCACTTAAACTAGAGAGCCTGATATGCAGAAAACCAGCACAGTTTAATCACAAGTGATCAGGACCAGGAACAAGCAATCCACAAAACAATCAAGAGAACAAAAATTGGCAACAATTTTTCCAGTAACAAACTACATAATCCGGACTGTATTTAATGGTTCTGTCTTTCTAGAACTGTAAGGTTATTCAACAGCTCAAGCAACAATTATCAAACAAAGAGGCTGATTTGTAAGGCAAATAAAGAGCATTAGTATGACAGTATTTGTTTTAAGTGAGCAAGGCCTCTTCCAACACACTCAGTGCTATGGTTTGCATTATGCTGGGAACTTGGAGGCAGCATAGGACATTTATTCACAAATTCTGAAAATTATTTACTCTTTCCTAGCATGCACACAGCAATGTACACAGAGACCAACAGAAAGACCAGCTGTCATGATATTCCATTAGAAGTGTCCTAAGGTAAGAACAATCCCAGATTTGTCCAGCAGATCTTGACAAAATGTTCTTGAACATGCAGCTAACTGAGACACAGGTGCACATGATGGTCAATGGTTCTTAGCCACCTTTCTTCACAGGCTTTCAGTCTCACGCAAAGCACATTGACACTGGAAAAATCACATGTCATGTGCATCAAAATGTGTATGACCAAATTCAAGTGGGGGTAGAGCAGGGAGGTAGGGTTTGGAGACAGATTTAACAGACTGCCTGGAAAAGATATTCCCACGTGAGGACTATTTCACCACCTAGCTGGTAACATGAGGTTAGCAGCCAGTGCATGCAGCCAGAATCTGGGACAAGAAACGTGCATTTTAAGAAGCTGTCTTGACTTCAAAACAGCTCAGCAATTGCATGCATAGATTGGTAAAGAAATCACTTCTGAACAAACATCAAGTGTAGAAAACTAGTTTTAGAAGTACATTTAAAGGCCAGAAAGACAGAGATTATACTAATAATCAGGTAGCTCCTACATTTGTTTTAAAAATAAACAGCTAGTAGTTTTGCAAGTAATGATCCTCTATATTTGCACTCCAGTAAATACAATAAACTAAATAAATCTTAATCACCATATAGTACTAAAACAAAATGACATTAAAAATAATAAAAAGTAAGCAAATAAAAGCTCCATAAATTATTTGGCAACAAACCACTGTAAAACATAGGTAAACTAAACAATTATTAGATAGGGATGGTGAAGACACTCTTTTGCAGCTAGCTGAAACTACTTTTTAGAGTCCATTCCCTTTGAGGCAATGAATTATGGGTTCTCCTGTACCTCAGCCTCTCCCAAGGTAGCCCCTCATGCTGTCTCCTTGTCTTCTGAAACTCTGCCCTGCTCTTGTCCCAAATTTTGCAGTATTTCCTGGTGTTTCACTGGCTTCTAGGAAATTCAGGCTGTTCCCTTTTATTTGTATCATGAGTTTATATGATGCATAACTTGAAATTATTGGTACATTCAATGCTTTTTAAACTATGGGTTGAGAACAAGCTTCAAAATATCAGCAACAACAATCTTGGCCTTACCTGAAGGATCTTGTATTGTCATTTCCTTACGCTTCATCATCAGCTTGTCTTTAACCCATGGAAACTCCTGTAAGGAATCCAAGAATGCGTCAAAAGCTTTGGGTCCTCTGGTGGGGAGAATATCAAGGAGCATCATGGTTTTCCTCTGATTAGTGGTTTGGGCTTTTATTTCTTGTACATGACTGTCTGTGAGAATCCCTTCTTGGTAGAGATACTGAATAACAAGTCCATCCACCAGCACCTCTGTGCAGAGCTCCAGGCGCAGGGAGCGTAAAAGCTGCTTGTCTCTGGCATCCATCTGGCAACCTAGGGCATTGGAAAAGGAGTAAGGAAATGAGTAAAGATTAAAATACTTCAACCTTTAACATCCACAAGTGATGTCTGACACCTGTCAACCTTTAGAAAAAACTCCAAACTCAGAATCACCAACCTGGCAAAACTATTAATGATCCCCATCACCTTCTTTGCACTCAGATTTCACTGTCTCACAAGGTAAAATGATGCAATTTCTGAGAAATACTGGACAGGAATAGAACATCTGGCATTGCAAAGACCACTCCTTTGCTGGAGTAAAACCCATGCCAAATAATCCTGCTCATTAACTGGTAAAGATCCGTACTAAAGGCAGCTAGAGCACTCACCAGTCCCTAAGTGACACTAACCCCCCAAAATTAAAGAGATGTCACATCTGACCACTGATACAATTATAAAAGCAGCAGCAAGAGTGGTAGATGCACCACAGCCAGGCAGCAGGGACAGAATCAGCAGGTAACTTTGGCCTACACAATGCATTTTAAATTTAGGAGGGGTAGAAACGTACCTTACATACCAGGTCATTCTCACCCCTGAATCACCCTGGAAGATTGATCTGGAACTCAACTGATCTGATGACAAGAAAGTTTCTTCGAATTTCTCTCTCAAATTTATACACCTTCTATTTATGGGCATTTGTTCTGCCAAAACTGCTCCTTAGCCTAAGTAGCTTTTCTCCCTCTCTTCTAATGTGCCAACGAAGCAATCAGATGCCCTCTGCCAGCTTCCATTTTACTTGACTAACACTCCAACTAGACAAAAGCTAAAAAAGATGCATTTCATAGCCAATCTACAAAAGAATAATCAAGGTCCAGAGAGACCAAGCAGCTCATCCAAGATCATGTCAGCAGACCTATGGAAACGAATCAAGGTGTCTAGTCTAGTCCTTAATGACAAACATAGCCCTGGRCCCACCAATGGCACTTGAAAAGGAAAATGACAAGACAACACAATTAAATACTTCCTTATTACTAAATAATGAAGTTAAAAAACGGCAGCAAGTGTTGAGTGTGGTTACCAAGAGGGTTTCTCATAATTAAACTAGATACTGCCTTTTGAACGGCTAGACCTTGCAGAAACTCGACTTCATTAAGCTTGAGGATACAGGGAGAGACAAGAATTTTCAAAGCTTTTGTATGAAATCTGATGAAGTTCTTTTTATCATCTGAGGTTTCTAACTCCCAGGGCTCCATCGAAGAGTGTTTGGTTGGCCTGGTCGTTAAAATCCAGGGCAGGTGACCAACAGAACATATCGGCATGTAAATGGCATCTTGGACAGAATGCAAGAGCACAGTGCCCTAAGACAGAGACTGGAAAATGAATGTGACATCCTCTGACAAATCTACTTTCTGAAAATGCTTCAACCAAGTGCCAAAAGCACTGTTGGAAATAACCTTCCAGGAGTACTCCATTTTTCCTGGGTTACCCAATGCATTTTTCATCTACTTAAATGAATTTGGAGGTGCTCATCTTCTGCCTAGGGGACATGTGGGAATCAAACAATTGCTATGCCAGCACATGTCACTAAGAAACACTAGTTTGCTAAGCGTAGCTCAAACACCATACTCCTTCATGGACTGAGACAACAGGCCAAGCAAGAAGATGGAAAAAGCAGGCAAGAAAGAGAAATGGATTTTGCCACTTGATGTTAGATTGCGCATTTCAGACAGTGAAACKGAAGATTCTGGTCTCAAACACATAGTACCTTTACACTACAAGAAACAATCTCTGGGCTAAAATGAAATTCAGGCAGTAAATCCCACCACTTCTTCCTTCTAGAACACTCCTGAGCTCATGAAGCACTTGCAGAGTTCAAGACAGGCATCCAGCAGCAGCTCTGAGGGTGTCATCTCAACCCAGTCAGAAAATTGTTTCAGATAGTACAAATCCTGTGCTTCACATTCTGAACGGGCCCCTGAGAGTCCCCATCCAGGAGCTGCCTCACTCACGTGCTGGATGAGGAACACTGAATTCTTCAGTCTCTTTACMGCACTTGACGAGTTCCTCTTCTTCACCACCAAAGCAGCCAACACTTTCCAAAAATAAAGCTCTTACAAACCATCTCAGTTTGCACCTTTGGGCACTGAAAAATGCCTATCAAGCCAGCAATCTGAAGGGTGAATTTCTGCTGAAAAAGGCCTTTGGCTTACTGACTGCAGAGTGCGCACAACTGAGATTCTAAAGTCCTGCCACTGGCCTGGTAAACTTTCAAGATGGGGCATACTGATTTCTAAGGTCTTTTTAGAGATTAAGTATTTCTTTGGGTTTGTTTACTATGAACAAGGAAATATCTGAGTTAAGAACTAAGCAGCTAGATATAAAAATATATCAGGATTTTGGTGCCTAAGTGTTGAGACAGAGTTTAACGAAACATAGAATTAATTTTAATTCATTTTAATCACAGTCTATATCTAGGGACCCCAAGTAAACTCTGAATTTAGTCTAGTAATTTTACAGAAAATGAAAAGTATGAGATACTAATTTAAGCAAAAGATGGCACAGCCAAAACGTTCCCCAGATACTTCTGAAAATGGATCTTTTCCACTAAAAACACGAATTTTAAAAAACATAGCCCACGTCCTGCTGAATGAGCACAATCCTTGACTCATCACCACATCAACACAAGCATTTTTCTGGATCTGAAAGAGGATCTGTCCATGAATGGGATAAAACTTTTAATAAAGATCCCTTCTAATGCTAAAAAGCCACATTCATTTAGCTCTTTGTTAGAAACATTTCAGCGTTTTCCGGAACAGCAACTGCACTCACCTGCCTAACTCGTGAGTGATTCTGGCTACTCACAGCATACGTACAGGTTTAAAATAGTACACACACACAGAAAAAAAAAAAAAAAAAAAAAAAAAAAAAAAAAAAAAAAAAAAAAAAAAAAAAAAAAAAAAAAAAAAAAGGCAAATTTTGCTCCCTGCCGAGGTCCGGCAGCTGCTGCTCCTGTAACAGCCACGGACCAGCTGCCAGCACCCCAACACGAGCCCCGCATGCAGAAGCAGCCCGCAGGCCTTCCTCCCCTCGGCCTCCCTCGGGGCAGGGCTGAGGCCGCCCCGCCGCCCCGGCCCGGGCCGGCCCGCCCAGAGGAAGCCCGGCCCCCGCCCCGGCCCCCGCCCCGGCCCCGCAGGACTGCGGGCGCCGCCGAATGGCTCCTAGGCAGAGCTCTCCCACTTTCCCCTCGGCAGCGCCTGGGGCGGGACCGGACGAGCCGAGCTGAGCGGGGCCGTCGGCAGCGCCCGGCGAGCGAGCACGGTACAGCTAGCTCCGCCGCCCCCGCCCCTTACTTACACGAGGGGAGCGGCAATTACCCAGGGCACGCCGGCGCCCGCGGAGCCYGCGCGGGAAACACCATCTTTGTTGAAGGCAAGAGGGCTCCGCCGGAAGCCGCCGCCGCCACCGCCCTGCCTCGGGCCGGCTGAGGAGGGGCCGCTGCTGCGGGACCGCCGGCGCGGGTGGCCCGCAGCCTCCATGTCAGCTGCGGGCAGCCGGGCCCAGGGCAGCCCCGGCAGCGGCGGCAGCCCGCCCGSCAAGGAGCCCGGCCGTGCCGGCTGCCCGAGGCTGCCTGCGGGGTCCCGCTGCGGTCTGCGGGGTCCCGCCGCTGCTCGGTGCCGCTGCCGGGGCGGGGACGGGAGGTGTCGCCGCCAAGGAGGCCCATTTCCAGGAGCTTGGAAGACCTGCTGCGCTTTCAGAGTCTGGGTGGTGGAAGTGTTTAGCGAGAGGAGGGGTAATATCTAAAGTGAAATTAGAAATTACGAAATTGGAGTTTAAATTGCATTAGAAACAGCTGCTCTCATTACTCTCTAGGGATACTGGTTCCTGTGTGTGAGTATGCGTTAAGCGAAGTTTCTGCTGCTGGTCTCGTCATACCAAACACAAAGCAGTATTATGTGAAATACTATATATATTTAGCCTCATTACTTTCTTCTGAACAGCTTAAAAATGAAGAAACTTTAATAGATGAAAACCATTTAGTAAAGAGAGCCGGCCTGTGTCTACCACAGTGTTATTCACATTCTTGTTGTTTTATTCCTCTGTTACTGAATACTSTATTACTCGCATGATTTTATACGGATATCTAACCAAAGTACGATAGAAAGGAGAAGACTGATTCACAGAGCTGTAAAAATGAGGCAGTATCACTTTCGATCGCACGTCATGTAATAGCTTTTTTCTGTCTTTACATAGGTGTCAGGTGTCACACGGGATTGAGTGGTGTCAGCCCTTTTTGTTTCATGTCGGGACTGCAATAGCGATGAAAGAACTAAAAAAAAAAGATCCTGTAGTGCTGGAACGCRCTACCTTGAAGCCTGCAGGCAACCACAGGAAGCTGGCTGTGGTCTGCACAACATGGTAATACCTTCTGGAAAAGCAGGAAAGGTGGTTACTGCTGCTGCTGATAGAAACGTTGTCACCTTGTGAATCCCATTTGTACACTCTGTTTAGACTAATCATACAAATTTAAGAGTAATTCAAAAATTCAATGGTATTTGGAAGCTAGTTATGGAAGCATTTGCATGCCTTTCCTAAATACTGTACCCAGGACATACTTGCCATGGAAAAATGTAACCGAAAGTATTATTGGTAGAGCTCACATACTGAGCTCTACCAGTAATTATGTGTAACATAATATGTACAAGATTTTGCACAAAGATATGCAGTCACTCTCAGGAATCTGAAATCCTTTTCCTTTGATTTTCCTGTGGCTGATAAAAAGTTGAGAATTTATGTGGACACAATGTAAATCAGCCTTAAGGGCAAAGTTTGTATGCTGGTTTAAGAAGTATTTAAAATAATATATACATCTATTGTGTGGCCAGCTTCCACAGAGATGCTGCTTATTAGCAGCAGTTTTAAAGCAGTCTTTTGGTTTGATGACATTACACTTTTCTCTGATTATTTTTAGGCAATACATTTGATACAGGTGGTTAAATTGCTTGTGAATATTTGATAAATAATACCTTATTACAATAGAAGTGATAAACCAAATACTTTTTTTGGCTCAAGCACATATGTTAGACTTCTAGGACATAGACATAAAAAGTCTTAATACTCCTCTGGGTTGCCTCAGAGCAGTGCATTAACAGATTTGATAACACTGGAAACCACACAAGTAAGTCATCATTGGTAACTCCAAGACAACAACAAGCTGCTGTTGTAGCCAAAATATAGCTGATGTAGTTTTGAGTTTTCTTGTCACTAAGTTTGTAGTATTAGTTGTGAGAAAATACATTTGTAAACAGCACAGAGGAGCAGCAGGGAGCAGAGACACCATAAACTGTCAGTATGATCATTCCCAGCAGAGCACTACACAGCTACTGAAAGTTTCCTTTCCTGGCTTCTTATACTTCTGATTGTCAGCTTTGYTTTTTTTTTTGCTATTTTTTTCCTTTCAGTCATGATCTGAGGGACTGCATTGTATCTGGAATTGGAGTGACCAAACTTGGAGATTTCACAGAATCACATCACATTGCAATCCTGACAGCTGCTTTTAATTGCAGATAATGTGGCTGCATTTTAAAATAGAAAAATAGGACAAGCAGTTACAGCACTTGCGTTTACTATCTTTTTGCCAGATGAGGCAATTAGTTTTTTATTATTTTATACTGTCCAAGAATGTCTTAGAAAGTTAGCAAAACATATGGATATGCATTGAGCAGTTCCAGATTCTACTAAGGAAATCATATGATTGCAGTTTTACAGTCAACATTTAGTCACGCGTTTGCTTGCAGTCTTTCAGAGGTAGAAAGAAAGCAAGCAGTGAAAGGAAATAGATAAGCCTAGGAAGGAAGAGGACAGCACCAGAGGTCCAAGTCTGATTAAGGGAAAATCTGGTGTTTCCTTTTCCTTCCACTAGTTAATAACTAATGCTGCAAATTTATTTAGTGGAAATTGTAAATATGCTACTGGTGTTTTGAGTTCATCTTTAGCAATGCAGCCCAGATTTTGACTGCACACTGCAATTAGATGCACAGAGTTAATACTTTAAGTCTAAGGAGTAAAGCCCATAAGAAGCCCTGAATTTTTTTATTTCAGTTCAATATGGGTTCAGCCCTCAGTGAAGTTCTTCCAGTTCAGTTCTGATCCAAGTTCAAGAAAACTTCAGAARGATGGTTTGGTTCTATTCCATTTTTAAGGACAAATACATGCATATATATATTTGAGCCAGTTTGGTGTCAACTCACTGCCCCCACTAACTGCTCAAATCCCAAAGCTAACCATGCAGATTTAAAAAAAAGTATTTCCTAGACTTTGCCGATCAGTGGACCACAGTCAATCCTGCACATCAGTGTCCTCAGACTTAGTCTTAAAAGCTTGTTCTGTTTGGTTCTGCAGATTCATTCATCAGTGGTCATCAGGCCACATTTTGAAGGACTTCTGAATTCAGGATCACAAGTCCTAATCTGTGGGAGCCAAGCTAAACAGTATCTCTTTTGATAATGCTGTTCACTTCACAAGTGCGTTATTCCAGGTCATAATCCTGTATTTTTATATTTACTATACACTTTTTTAAAGCTCACTTAAAATTCACAAATCTTTTTAGAAACTGTACAAGTATAATGAGATTTTTAAAAATGCTTTTGAGATAATCCTTTATGCTAATTAGAGTCAAGCTGTATCCAAGCATATGTGTATTTTCTTTGTTTTCTACAGACTGGTTTGTTTCTGCTGATAACAAGAGGCTGAATGTGTTCTTAAAACTAGCACAAACAGATTTAATCTATTAGGATTATGCTGTTTGCAATTGTCTGTAGGACAGCATTCCAGCGTTCGGGACAAAAGCAAAAATATGAGCCTCGAGATTTATTAAAAACACATCTAATTGGTTAAATCTCTCACAAAACCTCAGAAATTGAGAAAAGAGAAACATATTGTATGCTTGCCATTTTTTAGATGAACACATTTCTCTATGTAATGTTTCTCGAAAACTGTTAAAATGTAAGTAAGGGTGGGCCAAACAAGGTGGCCTGAAGACCATATGAGGGTCTTGCAAAYGGTTGCTGTCCTCTGCTGTCCCAGGTGATAACCCCTTCCCTTCCCCCCTTTTCTCCTYCTCATCCTGATCCCCATTGTACTTCCCTTTGCAGCTGTGGGCCTCTGTAATGCCAGCATCCAAGTCTCTGGTGCCAGTCATTGAAAACCAGGCTGATGCCAAGGAAAGGAAGGTTTTGGTATAGGAAGTTTGCCCAAACTGCAGACTGAAACTTAGGCATGCTGTGCTGGGTGCCGGCAGGATTTGAGGACATTAGGCGGTGAGTTGGGCCGCTCTTCAGGTTGCTTTTGTTACTACAAAAATGATTCCTTATCACTCCTAAAGAAAGATGATGGACAGGACTGAAGCACATCATTGAATGGGATCAGCCCTTAGGCTGCTGCTTAATTATTCTGATACTTTGTAAATTCCATTCATTCCAGCAATAAAGACTTTAAATGCAAATCAAAGAGAGGAATTAATATAAAATATAGGTGACACATCATTAATTCCTTGAAAGCAGTATTTTATTTAAAAGTATGTCCARCATGTAGGTAAAATATAGCACAGAAAGTTTTAAAGCATCCTAAAACATGGGGTTTAAAGTGACCCTGTAGCGTGTACACATTTACATTTGTTTCAATAATAAAAATAAGTTTCAATAATAAAAATAATATGACCATTATTGCAATGAATTCTGAGTGCTGTTTACTATGATACAAATAATCCCTAGCAAAAAGTTGAGTGAGGAATAGTTATAAAAAGGAAGCAGGCATCAAATGCAAAACTTTTGTATACATTTTGTTTAAAAAATCCAATAAACTGTAATGAAAAAACTTGAAATTAATACTTGCAAAACATGACTGAGTATTTCTTAGAATGTTTAGTCCTTTAAATATATGAATTAATGCAGGTCTCTATTTTTAAGTTTAGTTTAAAGATGCTTTGAGGAGACACATGAAATACTGCAAGCCTGTTATTATTTATTCCAGACTTATGAAACGATTTTTTAAATGTAAAGCACCATTTTATTAATGTGAGAACAAAGAAAATTCACTAWTTACCCTGCAAATCAAACATTGGCAAATAGCTAAAATTAAATAAGATTCAAGTCTGATCTTTTCACAAAACTAACTTATTTTGCTTGCAAATTACAGCATATGAAATGCTATTCTAACATTTTAGATAGGAAAAAGACAGGAAGGTTGGTTTTACTTAGGTGAAGAATAGCTATTGCTTTTTGTAATCTTCTGTTGCTTTCCCAGGATTTGAACTGGACAAACTTGTACAATACCTATGTTTTTTAAGGTTCTTAATTTAAGGCTAAACTTTTCAGGATGTAGTAATGATTCATGGAAATCATGTAGCCTGCCAAGAGATTTGCCACTATTTRTACTTTTGCCATACATCCCGTTTTCAAACAAAAATACCCTTTGATTAAAAATTCACTTTTTCTATTTTGTTCCCTTTCAAAATCAAACCTTCCTGCATGCAGGCTGGTGAAGCATCCTGCAGTAGGCACTGCATCCTCAATTAGGGGAGTTAAAAGAAACAGATGAATTTCCAGAAGGCAGTTATCTTCTCACAAGAAGTTTCCCTCACAGATAACACACGTCTGAAGCACTTCAGCTCAGGAAGGGGCTATACTGCAGCCACTGCAATCTAGCTAGACTTTCTTGACTTACTTCCTTCTCTCTTTTTAGCCGTGCAGCCAAAGATACTGCCTTCATTGCAACTTAAGTTCCTATTAGTGTTAATTGAAGTATAAGCCACTTTTCACCCCATGCTGAGAAATTACAAWATGTTGAGTCTGCTACCCACTTTACAGATGGATAAATTGCAGCTCAGTCTTGTTAAATACTGCTCTTCCTACAGAAAATGAACCTGCTCAAAACCCCTTGAACAGTAAGAGTCAATCCACAACTTATTCTGCCCTCCAGGTGTGTCAAACAGCACCCTAGATAAGAAAAAAGCAAATGTATGTAATAAGGTGTCCAGAGCAATCTCTCAAATTTGGAGATTGTCCTTGAGACAATGTGGGTACAGTGACTCAGCGGAACAGATCCTATTTCAGGGTTGCAATCTAAAGAGATAGAATTAAATTGCAACAAAGCATTTTGAAAAGGGATTTTTTGTGGCTTTCAGCTAGCAGACTTAAAACTCCTGATACCAAGCTTGATCCAAGTAACTTCAAAAGAATTTGCACTGAGCTTTGCATTTCCCCCCATGGCTAACATACCTCTGCATTTATTAATTGTTAACCACCAGCACACCAAATTGCAAACCTCAGCTATGAAACATCAATTATAGAACTATTTGACTGGAATCAAAAGGATTTGCTTACATAAACCCTACCATCCAGTGAAAGAAAAATCAAGACAGGAGCATTGAATTTGTTTTTCTTTGCAGCACTTGTCACTAAACTTTTCCTGGATATTATCTGTTTGAAGTGTTTCCTGCTAAATGCCAGCTCATTCCTTATGCTAATATAAATAGCTTTTGCTCCAGCATTATATTCCTCCTTAATACCATAGAAAGGAGTGGTATTATTTCAGTATTTCAGTTCCTGGAGAATGAATAGCTCTAGYTCTGGAAGAAAACAATCTGAAACACAGGTGCAATCCTTTTTTAAAAAAAAGGATCTAAGTAAAATAAAATACACAATCAAGCAGATTAAACACCATAATTATAGTGATACATTTTTACATTTCTGTAGACTTTGTAAGAGGCACTGGCCACTCTAAAGTCCTGTAGATAAAGTTGTTATTATTAACGCAGTTAATCCCCTTCTTGGTAACCCTGGCACCAGGACAGACTGAGTTGGCTATAAGCTAWTTTTTTTTTCTTGAAAGTGAGTTATATAGACTTTGTCTATAYGTGGATTCAAACTACTGATACTCGTGATTCCTGTAGACCTTTAATCTCTACTAATACACCTTTCGGCATTGTACTCTTTCTGGTGGTTAGTTATTTGATACACCTTGTGAGAAATGCTGCCTCTCACAGGAGCTGCTGGCTTGTCCCTTTAGTCCCTTCTCAGACATGAAAGCCAAACAAGTAATTCCCTCCTTAGCGAACAGAAAAGCTTCTCATCTTGCTCCTGGCAGCTGAGTTTCAGTTTGTAATGTGCCCTCTAAGACAGGGGATAAGGACCAGTSATGGTCAACACCTGATACCCTTCATGGCCCTGAGCAGCACCTACTCTACCGCCCAGTTTCTCTGGTATTGAGCCTACTGTAGAAATCACCCAATTTTAGCAATACTGTGCAAAATCACCATGTTGTTTTAAAGCAAGCTCAGACTATGATGACTGAAGTTATGTGTCAGTGGAATGTTGTTTCCAGGCATTTTCAGTCATGCTAATGGCTTAGCAAAATACTAAGATCTGCTGAATCTAACACTAACAGAGAAGTGCTTTTCAGAAGCTAGGCTGAGATACCAAAGAAGCTTGTCATCCCCACTTCCTTTCTGTGTACAGAACTAACCAGCTCTGACCTTTCAACAAATTTCTAGTTACTCTATTTGGAAAWTTTTTTGTTTAGATAGTAAAAATTTCATTAATTACTTTATTTTGTAAATAATCTTTTTCCTTTCAACAAAGTTTATTATTGTTATTACTGAGAATTAGCAATACAAGTTTTAGAATATCTCAAGCCATTTTTTCTCTAGTAGTAAATGTGATACTTAGATTTATTTAAATGACTGTAAAGTTAGCAGAATTTTTATTTTACTTTATTTTAAATGACACTTAGAAATGTTACCCATATCTAAAAATATCTCTTCCAATTCAGTTATGTGTTTTGGCTTAAGGAGAGCAATGCATTGATATCACTTACTTTCCACTAAAGCCTAAGCTTATAGCCAAAGGAAAAATCGATAGGATTGTTATCAGGAATACAAGAAAAAGCTCTTGAACATGTAAGTAAATAAAGCTTTTTMAACAATCTTTAACAAGGTAATTTACTTGCCAGAACATTTTGCTAAAACAGGAGAGTTGGCTAAAGTACAGAAATTTGTGAGTACAAAACCCTGTCCCACCTGTCATATGTAGATTTTGTTTTCTCAAGGTGATGAGCCTTATTAAGAATCTCAGATTATAATGTTCCACCATTTCTAGTGGAGGAATAAATTCCTCATTGTGGTAAGATGTAAAAAAAACCCTCTACTAGAAAATATTCTAGTGAACAATTTTTTCTTCTTGCTAATAATTACATATTATTTATTGAGAATGTGGTTTCATAAAATATAATTAAGACAATACTGATGACATCAAATTAAAATTACTTCTAATGTACTGAGCACAGCTGCTTGGTTACATTCCCACTCTACCCATTCATCTTGAACTCAAACTATTTTCTGTCTCTGGTGATAATACTACCAGCAGGAAGATGCCCATACAACTAAAATGCTGCCCTAATTTGCACTTCTGCTAGGTTTAGTGCTAAACTAACTACTGTCATCAATTCTATTTTCTTTATTCATCTTGCAATTATGTTTGTTTTGGTTGGTTTTTTTAAGTATCACCTTTCAGGATTGTAGAATTCTCAGTTTTCCTTTCCTTAAAGTGAAGAGGTTTTCAGCAACTAACATTTCAGGTATAAACTAGAAAATCTGAAACCTTAAGACTCAAAAAAGAAAAACCAAACCAATACATGGGGTTAAAAAAAGGCTTAGGATTAAAGTCCTTATGATTTTTGGTTGACTCATGGGCATCGAACCTGTGAAACTGGCTTTGCTGAACACTCTGTACCAGCAAGTCAAGATGATATATATCAGTTAAAAGTAATTTTTGTAATCTGTAGGGCCAGTAATTTAAAAGCTAGTGCTGCAAACAAGCTACAACATCCATTAAGTAAAGAAAAAAAAAGGCACTGGAATTTTTTTTAAAATGTTTTGACATGATCATGTCTGAAAAATCACAAAATCTACATGCAAGATTTTTGTACTGCTGCAATCTAATCCTGTTCTATCGTCAGATTTTTTGTACCAGAACAAGTAATTCCTCTGTGCTGCATTAGAAAGAAGCTGAGCTTTCAGCAAGCTATACTGTGGTTTAGTTTTACTAGTGCAATGCATCAACACTAGGACTGGCATCCTAATGAGAACAAGAACTGTGCTTTCATACAAAGAGGACTAGTTCCCCCTCCAGTCTGTTTAAAATATTGTTCGCAGCTTCGGGCACACCATAGCTACAGACCCTGCTTTTCCTCACAGGAACTAATACAAATGATACAAAGTCTAGGTCAAAATCACCACCTTTCACTTTACCAGCACTCCTTGTTTTCAGCCTGCCACATGCCTTTGTGCATTGGAGAACTGTTATTAAAAACACCAGCGAGTTTCCCTGCATCTGCCCCATGTTGTTCCTCAGAGCTTGGCTCTGCTGTAGGGTGCACTTGGCCAGTGACTGCTTGCATAGTCTGCCAGAAGCAAGCCATAAGTAATTTCTTATACTCACAGATTTCTTATATATAGCAATCTCGTTGCATCCCAAAGCTCTTATCTTAGTCTGCTTGCTTCAGCACTGATATTCATTATTTTAAATCCCAGGTCAGGGGCTAGCCTGGGAGGATTTGTTTTAAAGGCCTTTAGTACAATGTGTTTATCACTGAGACCCCAAGCATATATCACCCCAGCTGAAAAAGAACAGTAGTGGAATGTTAACACAGCAGCAGATTAGAGTGTTTGTGACTGTYACAGAAGTTCTGTGTAGCAGTTATCTCACCACAAGGTAGAGCTAGACAAGAACTGTAAGAAAAGATTCACCAGAATGAAAAGTGTTCCCAGGAACAGTTCTTTCACAGGCTCTGCTCACAGGAAAAGCTCCTCAGCCTGAGGGTGGCAGATCCTAGCAAGACTGATGACAAGAACCATGTGATTATGACACATACCTGGAATACAAGAGCTCTTCAGGCATGAGAACCAAAGAGTGGTCACCATGTAATGTGAACAATATCCAAGTATTTTTTGGCAGAACATGGGGAAAATTTTACATAACAAAATATTTTTTGTTTTTCAGAAGAAAACTCCCCCCATTTCTATGCTAAAGCTTTCTATGCTGAAGTATTGAAAATGGGGAGACAATATTTAAGCCATGAAGGAGGAGAAGCCCACCTTTTCCACAGAAAGAACAAGAACAAATCAAGTATTTGTCATACCAAAGAACCATCCACTCTGCCTGAGGTTCTTGGTGCCTTTTTTTTCTCAATAAAGGTTCTGCTACTCATTTCTGCCAGCTTGTTACTGACAAAACTGAGTGTGTAATGATGAGAATTTAGGTGCCACAAATAAGATGGCCAGTGCCCCAGGGTTTATAAGAAGGGCAGAACTTCTTGACAGTGCAACAGAGCAGTTAAGTCACAAGGAAAACAAGATTATTCTATGTTATTTCTATTTCAGCCTGGGCAAAGCTGGGTTACAGCAAGTCTTGACAAACCTCCTTGTTCAAGCACAGGTTTTTGTTTTAATTAACAAATAAGCTTGGGAAAGAATTAAAACTTAATTTGTTGACTAAGGATGAGTCTATGACCTCGTTTCTCTCTTTATGCTTTCCTATTTTTCTCRTTCTGTGTATTTATTCTATTAAATATTTTATATTTAGATTGAAGAATGGGTACTGAGTGTCTTAGTCCCCTCTTCATTTGGAAGACTACTGTAACAGAAAAAGCAATGTCCTGTGCTAATACCTAACTACAGGAATTCAGCAGGCAGCCTCTAAGCCACTAATCTGAATGTAATCCAGCTACACCTTTGAGCAGCACTACAAAGGCAMAGCATGGGTATTCATCCTTACTGATACATGTGTGTTTATCTGAGTATTAGCTGGGAAATTATATAAGTTCCTATGTAACAGCACTGTTTCCCGAATATTAGCAAATCCATACATACAAAGATTGGAAGATTGTTGTGCAATTTGATTGACTTTATTGAGTAATCATCTGGTAGCTACAATGGTGAAAAGGAAGTAAAAAAAGGGAAAACTTAAAAAAAAAAAAAAAGGGAAGGAAAAAAGGGAAAACCAACTCCCTTAAAAAAAATCCAGTTCATTTTTCCCCATATTTTGGGAAACAGGCTGAAGAAAATATTCTACACTGTAGAAGACAGCTGTAACTGCTGACGTCCATGTTTTGACATTGGAACTGCAAGTCTGAAGCATWCTTGTTCTATGCTTCAACCAAAAGAGGCTTAATAGTAAGAGCATGGATACATAACCACTRTGAAGATGTTAACAACATCTTAAGGATTCTAGGATACCAATCTGGTATAATCAGCAATATACTGGGTTGCTGTGAAAGATTTGTCATTTCTTCTTAAGGTCAGCTTTCAGAGAACTTTGAAAAACAATGTTTTAACTGATTTCTTACAGTATTCCTTTGCTTGCAGAAAAGCAGGAGAATAGTTCAATAAATATTGAATACATGATCACATTTCTGACTAGATTTGATTAGTTGCATAACTTTAGCAAGATTATCACAGTGTGATCTAGTTAAGCTTTTAGGATTATATGAATACCAGCACCAAATTAATCTTGGAATCAGACAACCGAGATACTTGTGAGCTCTTATACGTCTCTGACCACTTATGCAGTTTCTCCCTGTCCCACTGCTTCAGTAAGCATTTGGTAGTTAGTGCAGCATTTTATTGACAAAGCAACACAATCTGGACAGATTCCTGGCTTCTCTCTCCTTGCAAGAATAGCATGCCACCTTGTTGAACCCCCAAGGATGCAAACTGGGATTATTCTACATAAAGTCTGCTTTTATAGCATCTGAAATAAAAACCTTTCCCCCAGAACTGCCACTGTTTTGATAGTGAATTCCATGCTGAGTTGTACAACTGGTTACTCAGTTCTTTGGCTGATTTTAAGAATTGCATTCAAAAGTTACTCTGTGTTAGAGGCATTTAGAAAATATATTTATACCTGGTATTGATACTCTTTCAAGTACTCTTTTAGTCTTGTTGGTAATGGCAGCTCCCAGATCTGATTTGTGCTCTTGTTTATAGCTATTCTGCATCGGTGTTGCAGAGATGGAGCAGACGTATAGAGGGGTTTGTTCAAGTAAAGATGAACTGTTCCATTTGAAGGTGTTTCAGTTCTGTCCTTGCACATAAGAACATAGTACTCAATCAAATGCACAACGCTGTTGAACTGCTTAAGTCTAGATCTGACACAGGTGATAGAGTCCAGTCTAAACTTGCCATCTTGATACTCTATACGTAGATTGGTTGGTCCCGCCGATGTTTTTACCGATATAGTCAGTAGATACTCTGAATGCGAACTATCCCTAACCAAAAAGGTCCCTTCGGGAGCATCCTGTAATCTTTCTTTGGCTTCAGCAACAGTCATATTGCCCCAATACCATCCTGTTAAAAGATGAGAGAAAGAAGAGATTTGTTTATTCCTGTTTGTTTAAAAAKCTGCTCTCTGGCTGATCTATTTCTAGTCACCCATGTCCTTTGTTGTTTGAAAGCTGAAGTTCTGAAGGCATAGTAAATTTTTATTTTACTATTTAAATTCATTTGTTTTACAGTGCGTCTCGTTTTGACAAAGCCTTCCAGGTCACTCTTTATTTTCCTATCTATGCATACACACGCACAAACTTTCCCGCAGCGTCCTGCGGGCCGATACGGGAGCCCCCGACCCGGCAGGCCGCCCCTGAAGCAGCACGGACGCKTCCCGCGTCTCCCCTCTGCTCTCCCGCCAGGACCAGCGCTGCGTACGGCACAGACCGGCAGCCCGCAGAACGCCCGCTYTGGGTAACTGACGAGGCTGCTGTTGAAATTAGCTTTGTCTAGCGCCCGACAGCAGAGGGGTAAGAAAACAACTTCGGCGAGGTGGCTGCGGTTCTGGCGCAGCGGCGATGAAGACAAAAAGCCYTTTCCTCCGCCCGCAGCCAAGCCCCGCATTCTACGGGGCCAGGCGAGCCGCCGCCACGCCGGCGAGCGGAGCGCAGGCACGCGGGGCTGAGGGGATGCGGCGCCGCGGCCGCCCCGGCCGGCGGCAACGCCCGGCCCTCGCCCGGCCGCAGATCCTGGGCTGCCGCCGGGCCGCGGCGCTGCCGGCGCTTTTGCTTCGGCCTCCGCCATCCGCGGAAGGTCGGAGTCGTCGCCGCCCCTCTCCGCCGCGGGAGCGCGACCCCGCAGCGCGGGGCGGCGATGGCCAAGCGTCCACCGCCGCCCGCTTCCCCTCTCGGTCCGGTGGGGCTCCCCGCCGTGCCGCTCTGCCTCCCCCGGGACGGCGCCGCCGCCCCGGGCGCTTTTCCCTTCCCGGACGCCCGGGCTTACCTGCCCGCCGCAGCTCCTCCATAGCCGCGGCCAGCTGCTCCGCCTCACGGGACTCCTCGGCAACGGGCTCCTCCGCCCCGTCGTGCCCCCAGCGCTCGCCGGACCTCTCCGCGCTCTCCAGAGACTCGGCGGAGCGCAGGGTCATGGGCGGCGGCGGCGGCGGCGGCGGGCGCGGCCCCGCTCGCACGCAGGTCGGGGGCTGCCGGCAGGAGAGGGCTGCGCTTCGCCGCCGCGGGGTTCAGCGCCGCGCTGGGCGCATGGTCCCGGCCCCCAGCCCGGGCGCCGCCTGCGAGCGGAGAGAGCGTGGTTAGCGGCGAGCCCCGCGAGAGGCGCTCCCGACGCAGAGCGTGTTTCTGGCGATGCCGCTTCGGAACTTCCCAGCATCCAGAGGAGGGACCCGAGGCGAGAGATCACCTCCCGGCGGAGCGGGGGAGGGATATATCCTCCACCCCGTCGCCCAGTCTGTCCTCGGCTCCTCTCCGCCGCGGAGTCGGCGGAACCGGCGGCGGAGAAGATGGTCTCGCTTTGTTGCAAAGGCGGACCCGCTGATGCCCCGCTCTCTCGGCTGGGGCAGGCGAACCCGCCCGGGAGCTCTGGGACTTTTGGGGAGGGAGGAGGTCGCGGGGGAGAGCCTAGAACATAAAGGTATGAGAGGAGGGGGAACCAGCGGAGCGAGGCAGAGGTCTCAGCCTCTTGCTGCCCAGGTTACACTCTGCGGTGCGTCGGAATGGTTCTATAAGACCTCACAGTAAGGTCATCCGCAAAGTCGTACCTCTAGGAACAGAAGCCCGGTGTGGGCTGTACTCCCGGGGTGGGAGACCTTCTATCGGGCAGCGGAGTACCCGAGGAGCTGCGGTGCGGGTGCGCCGGCAGCGCCAGCTCCGGGGGCTCGCCGGCTGCTTGGGAACGGAAGGAGCAGCGCGGTGGAGGACGCGATRTAATTAGCGCGGGGCAGGAAATATGCTTTTCCCCCTCCATTAAATGCTGGTATTAGGGGAAAAAAAATCTTTCCTCTTGGCTGAAGCGAACGGGAGGGCCAAAAAGAGCCTCTTTTCTCCTGGGAGCCACCGTCAAGTCAGGAGTGACATAAAGCCGGACAGTACTAGCGAGGGGGAGCCTAGCCGGCTTGGCTGGAGCGGAGGGACGGGGCTCACAGGGAAGACAGGGACCCCCCGCCGGTGCTTGCGAACCCGGGCACCCTCTGCCTCCGTGTGCGCCAGGTGAGGGGTCCTGCTGAGGTGGTTCCTCCCGTAACAAGTTCCGCGGCGCAGCTCAGAAACTTTTTCAAATTAAACTGTAGTGGCAACTGATAGGGTGCTCTGACGGGTTTTTATCCCAATATATGCAGGCGCACACGCGGGACATCCCCGGCAAAGCCCATTCCCTCCTTCCCCCCGCGCAGAAGCTCCCGCCGCCGGCTCGGGGACCGGGCACAGGTGCGCCTGTCACCGGAGAGGCTGCGGGCCCTGGGCCGACGAGCGCAGGTGAGAGCAGCCCTGTCAGCGGTGTCCGGGCGCGACCCCTTGTGAAAGGGAGGCTCCGGGAGCATCTAGCCGCGAAGCGCCGCCGCCTGCGGGAGTTCGGTGAGGACGGAAGGCTTGCGAGGCGGTGGCGGCTGGCCGCAGCGGGCGTCCCTCGGCCGAGGCGAGGAGCGCCGGAGCAGCCTRCCACCGGCTGCGGGGGAGCCTGCATCCCACAGGTCGGCAGCGCCGTAGTGGGAGCGGGGCCGCGGTTTGCAGGCTCTCGAAGAGCGGCAGGGCATCGGGGGGAGAGGGGCGATGACAAGGGGACTCACCCGGGCTCGGCGGGACGGGGAGGGGGCCGCCGCTGCCGCCGCCTGGAGGTGGGGCGGTCAGGTTGTTCTGGCTCCCGGCGGTGTCGGGGGCCCGGGGGGGACACAGCACCCGTCGCCGGGGAGAAGCGTCGAGACTGTGCTGAGGCGGACAGAGGCTGCCGGAGGAAGATGGTGCTCCTGGGGAAACAACACCCTCCGCTTCACCCCCCCCCGCCCCGGCGCGGGCGGTCTGCTCGCCTTTGATTGCGAGGCGAGGGCATCCTGCCCCCGCCGCTCCCCCCTCCCGGGATGGTTACATACAAAGGCTGCTTTCCAGGAACTTTCCAGGAACCGCATCATGTGACAGGACCCGCTCCGGCGCCTCCGCCGCGATCGCGGCCAGCCGGGGCCGACGCACCGAGCCGCCGCCCCTGTCACGCCGGGGCAGCGGTCGCCGAACGCTGCCCCGAGGTCCCCCCGCCTCCTCCTCCTCCGCCCGTGGAGCCGCGGGCGACGCGCAGGTCAGTGCCCGGGGCGGAGGGACCGAGCCGGCGGGGCCGCCCGCGGGGCACGGAGGGACCCCTGCGGGAMCCCTGCGGGAACCGGGCGAGCGCTGCAGCGCGGCCCCGTCCCCGGGGCGAGGGTGCCCGGCCTGGCCGCGCCAGCAGCCGCGGGCACCTGAGCGCGGCGGCGAGGCCCGCCTGCGGGGCCGGGAGCGCGTCAGGGGCCGCTGCCAGGAGCTCTTTGCCAGGGACTTGCGGCGGCCGAAGCTCCTGGGACACCCCACCCTGATCTCCACCCCCCTTCACCCTCCGGCGCTAAATACCTCGTTGCTACAAACAGCCATTGCCCGCCGATGCGCGCGCCGATTTCCTCCCCCTCCCCCCCTTTTAAAAAAAATAATTATTATTTTTTTTTTAATAACCACGAAGCTGTTTTTCAGCCGTAAAGATGGTTGATTGGGCCGTGGGTGCTGCTTGGTAGCCAGCCACCTTCCGTCGCTGGCCCGGCGGTCCTGAGCCGACTTTAGAAAGAGATACATACATACACACACAAATAGGAAAGAAAAGAGGGGAAACAAAGCAAAAGTAGCCATAATAGTCTCACTCCAGCCCTTGGCTGCAGGTCAGGGCTCCCTGCAAATTGCACGGCGGTGTCTGGGAGGAAGAATTGACGGGAGAAGGATTAAGGGGTGTTTTTTATTAAGGCTTCAGTAAAAAAAAAGAAAACCCAAACGTTTAAAAAAATACAAGATAATATCTTTACAAATCGGGGTGGAAGGGGGGAGGGAGCCTTTGTTATCAAAGAGGTGAATGAATATGTATTAAGCTGGACTGTCTGGCTGATGGTGCGGAGCAGCACCCCTGCACAGAGAAAGTTCCCGCAGAGAGATACTGCCTTGGGTCGCTCTCCCCAGTAACGTCTGAAATACAATGTTTTGTTTTKKKTTTTTTTTTTTTTWAAAAAAAAAGATACGTTCCTGAAGWATTTTGTAACAGCTATTGCCTATAATTCTTAAGCACCAGGGATAAGAGAATTAATAATTATTTTTAAAATTAAGTTCTGTATTTGGTAATTAAGTAGATTCATTTGAGAAAAAATATACTTTGTTAAGTGGCATATTGATCAGTATGATTTAATCTGTTTGTAATGCCTGGGTGCTTTTGAATTTAATTTATTCAGTTTATGAAAAAAAGGTGGTTTTAATCACTGGCAGCAGCACAGATTTAAAATGAGGTCTGAGGAACAAACACGGGCTTTCTTAAGCATTCTCAGAAATGGTTTAAAACAATTTATATCTTGAAGGTCTTTCTTGTTCCTGTTTTTGTCTGTGAAGTTCAGATAGCCTCAGATCCAGCCTCCAGTGACAGTTGTGGAATCTCCACTAAGTTGGATTGATGTGAAGAGGGGAGAGAATAAGTTTGTGCCCCTTGAAATTTAGTKGACAGTTCAGCCACCCATGATGTGAGATATTGCAGAAAGCCTATATAACTTTCAAAATGGCACTGACTTCACTATATTCAGGAGAACAATAAAAAATTAATACAGATCTATTTTTATTACTAAAATAATTTTGTTTATGTATATTCTGTAAAGGCACAGACCTTTTGCTCAAAAAATATGTCCTTTTGATACCACAGTGTTCAAATTAGGGCTATCTCTTTAAAGTTCACTAATGCATCTTGGAGAAAAGGAATACATCTTGTCTAGATAACGCTGCTTTTTTTTGCAGCTTTGTTGTAGTTTCCTTTTCCTATGTTATTTTATTAATGGGATTTTTATGTGGATAGTATCTCAAGACTCCCTTTGCTTCTGCTGTTTATTCATCACTTGAAGTCATAATAATTTGTTTCTAAAACCACAGCTGGCTGCTATAAAGGCAGAGAGAGGAAGACCACGATTTATGTGGTGAATGCAAAACAAGAACAGAAGACTGTAATAAATGTTTGTTACTTAAAACTTCAGAAATTGTTATGAAAAAGGTAGCATAAAAATTAAATAGGCAGTGTATCAGCAGGATCTTTCCTAAACAGAGTTCTGTTAAATTTTTTTTCATGAGAGCTTAATGTCTCTTAAAAACAGCACTAAATATTTGATAAACTTACAAGAGTAATGAAATTCAAACTTAAAAACTGAAAATCTATCTTTAAATTACAATATTGGCTCCTCATAAGAGCACTTGGATTCACAGTTACCTTTATTCTCTGGCTTGAGACATCTGAAAGTGCTCAGGAGGTCGACGGAGTACGTTTGTATTTCACTGTTTCTTTCACCAATGTTAGTTGCTGTTTTTCTCCTCTGTCTGCATGAGTCTTCCATACAGTCACAGGGGAGAAAAACATAGTTGTAAGGGTAAGAAAAGGTGACTAAATTAAATTACTTTTGGGACTGCGGGCCATATGTAGTGCATGAAACTACTTAAAGCTACTTTTTAGCTGCTTTGGCACTGGGATATTTAATACAGGTTTTGTCTGCCTTAAGGGTTTTACTGTATAAAAATCAGAACAGACTAGGAGAAAGAGAAAAGAAGGAGCAGACTCTGAAAACTTAGCTTTCCATCATGTAAACAAATGAAGGGTTTTTTAATTTGCCACGTAACAAACAGCAATTCTTCTAAACAGTCACTAATACAAAAACTGTATACAAGTGGGGATTTAAAATTTTTACTTACAATTCATACAATTCAAAATGCTTTGTTTATTTTTAATCTGTGTTTTGAGGTAGCATTTCTGGGACAAACACTGCCTGTACAAATACAAATATGAATACTTCTGAGCCAGTTTTTGAGGCATATCACCTGACTGGAGACGAAAGGCACAAACTTAAGCAGACCCTAATTTTTTTTTCCTAATACTTTCTACAGTTCTTGAACATTTTGTTTCTGACTGTATATCATCCATATRGTAGATACTTTTAATCAAGTTTTATATTACTAGTGAAAATATGAACATTATGAGTTCTTGAAAATCATGAGCAGAATATATTGTTTCTGACTTGATTTCAAATGTATATGCTCAAGACAGGGAATGATGAGTGAATTTATTTTTTGTTTTTCCTTTAGGCAAAAATCCCTTTCATGATCAAGGAAGGAGGCAACAACATTTTTACAGTCCTGCGAAGTGCCTGTTTCTAGAAATGATTTTCACTTTGTTCCTGAAAAGTATGCCAAGTTTACTGTAGAGCCAGTACGCTGATTTATTTATATAATATGATGTGAGCAGAGGAGGGATAATGTGTTTTTGGCCCAGCTGATTTTGCAAAATTTGCTCTGATTCACTGAAAATATTTACTGACTTGTTAAGATAGATTTATCTGGCTACCTGGAAGAGTACAAGGGGCCTTTCCTTGTTCTCTGCATCCTTAACTTCCCTAAGATGCAGCACAGAATATCCATTATCCATGGCATACCATTTGGTCAGTTAAAATCCCCTTCAGTTAAAAGGACAGCTATTGCTTATCATATATAGCTACTAATTGACCATATTTCGCAACTGTTTACCTGAACTGGTGTAAATAACAGTGCACAGCTGCCATGGTTTCTCACTGTCCTGGGTTTACAGTCTGGTTCTTGAGCAGAGAAATATGAATATTGAGCCTTTAGCTCCAGCAAATTGGAACGAGCTAATTGTAGCTCCACAGCACAAAGAAGGTCTGCAATGTGAACTCTTAGAGAATTTCTCACTGATCAGTTAGGAGAAAGGTTTGCTTATTTCAGAAAGTGTTCCTAAAACRTAAGAAATAAAATGCAGAGAAAACAAATATTGTAGTGTATGGCATCACTCTGCTCTTTCCAGCTGCCTGAGGAACAGAATGTTTTGATGAAATAGATTAAGATTTATACCAAACAATTTTACTCTTTACCATCTGCCACCTTATTTCCTGCCATTTTTATCTATTCAGATGTGAATATTTTGCCTTTCTTGATAATATACATTTGGTAAAGGAGAGTAACAAAAAAAATCAGTGAATAATTTCTATGAATCAGGGGTGCTCTAAAAGGAAACCAGCTCTTGTAATTGAAAAACAAACATCAAAAGATGGCACCAAGAGAGTAGCACTTTGAAATAACATCCAGATTCTTTTCTTTCAGAGACAGTGGAGAAAAAGAAGGATCATTCCCTTTGGTTCAATGGACAGGTAGACAGATAATCACTGACAAGCATGAAACTGACCATAAAAATGTGGCATTTAAGTCCATCTCTCATCTCATCATGTGCTATCTACTATTAAAAAGTAAAGGCCTCAACTACATTGATTAGGAGGTTACCTAGAGTTACCTAGACACACTTAGGATTGTCAGTGGAAATAATTAAATGTAGCTCTTTGTTAGTTTCTCCAATTTACTATTTACAATTTAAGCTAAAACCAAAATATCGTAAGAATACTTTGGACAGACATGTAAAGGAGAAGTAGAATGTAGTGACACTGTACTAAGTTTAAAAAAAAAGTTAATTTACACAGCAGTTTTTACTTTATAGTATGTTARGCTTCTTCATAAACAGCAGAGTTCTGGTCTATCACAATGTTATTTTGTAAATTATCCAATTTCACTCTGACTAAAACTAACTAAATATTGCTGAAAGTTCCTGGAGTAAGTTGTAAATATATGCTTTGACAGCATTTTCTTCCCTATCATGCTTCCGTCTTCTGAACATGGTAGAAAAAAAGACTRCTGGAAAGGAACCATTTTTGATACAGACATTTCAAACAACTACTAGGAGAATATTTGATATGGATTTGAATATTCAGATTAGAGTAAAAATGCCATGACTGTAATATTTATTTACCTTTTTTTTTTTTTTTTGGCTGAGAAAGAGCTTCCAGGTGTATCTATATTCCATGTACACCTATGCATACACATGTTCAGAACCATGCTCTCTGAGGTTCTGGATTTTCAGAAACATACACTCTTGTCTTCGTTTTAGAAAAATCCTAGAGATAGCACAGCTGAAAGCTGAAAGCACTGTGAAATCTTGCATTCTCCTCCTAGATGCTGCCAGAAAAAACAAGCCTTTTATGCTTGAGGAGGCTTGAGATGTTTTCCTGCCAGTTGCGAGGAAAGTCCTAYGCCTCAAAGTAAAAGAGAGCAAGTAATGTCTGTGAAAAAGGTTTTCCTGACAGACGGCRTGAAGGCGGCTCTCCTATGCTTTACCAATCCATAAGCAATTAAAGTTCCTTTGTTGGCAAAGAGTCAGTTTTGAAACGAATAAGGAAAACTAAAACAGGTGATGCAGTGGCCATCTCTGAAGGGGAGATTTTTGAGTGCAAAGTAAAGTGAGGTAGAAACTGGGTTATATGGTTCTGAATAAATGGCCTCCCATCGGAAAAGGATAAATTTTAAATCACTGTTCTAGTTCTTACGTTAAGGATAGTTTATTTCACCCAGAGCCATTTGGCCTTGAAGATGAATTCCTACAATTAAGTGTTTATGATTGAAAGTGCTGCCATGGAGAGCAGACAGATGAATATCATTTTAGGAGTACTGTGAATCATTAAATGAGTTGTAGAACCTTTTTCTGGGCATGAGCCACTTTTAAATTTCAGGCTAAGGCTATAATAGACTTCAGCATAAGGCTTGACGTGTTGCTGTATTTAGGAGTTTAAATAACAGGATAATCAACATTTACTGATGTATTTATATAACTTTTAACTTCTTACAGTTAATTGAAAATATGTTGCCCATTGTATGTGAATGTGCTGCTGGGTTCAAATAMATTTTTCAGATTAGTGCATTAAGTGTTAGTGTCAGGTAATGAACTTAACCTGCCTCTGACGTGTTGGCTCTTTTGGCTTGAGATAGGCATGGCTGCTTTCCCTGCTTCAGTATAGAGAGGCTGGATGTGAAATGTCATACAAACCTGGACAGATGACAAGAAAGCAGTGTTGGCTGCCAGCTACCTTCTCTCGGTTTGTCAGGATTAGTGCTTGCTTTTTATCAGGATGGCTCAATGCATCGTCCTATATATGACTGGCTTGTTGGGAGGATGTGAACTGAAATACAGGCCAGACAGGCTGGCTCATGAGAGGAAATAGGCACAGGGCTACTCCTTCTGGTTAAGGAAAAAGCATTGGTCCACAGCTCGCCTTTTCTTGGTAYGAGAATTCTTTTCTTGTGTGAGAATTAAAGCTCAAATAGTAGTAGATAAAATTGGACAGACTGCTTGAAGCAGTATCTCCCCCTGCACCCAAAACCTTCCTGTGGCTCCGACAGAGCTCTGCCTGCTGCAGGCAAGAGAAATTAACTCATGCATCTTCTCCTAAACGACCTCAGCTTTCAGACTGGTGTTTTAAGATCAGTCCCAGTTTCCGAGTGGCTCCAAGTTGCCATCGATCAGGAGCAGCTCCGTGAGCTGTTGGGTCATGAGGTGACAATTCTGTCCCGGGGTGGGGTGAACAGCTGGGGGTGAGAGTACTAACTCTTTCAGCCATCTGATTTTAATCCCTTACCATATGTGACTTGAAGTCCTTAGATGCCCTCTACTGCCATATACCAGAATTAACAGATGGCTCTGTGTAACCAAATTCAGCTTTGCTGGAGTTTGTTATTATCTCTCTGTCTTTATAAATGAACGGAGGAGGGGAAATAATATCCATAATTATTACAAAATATGCAAAGCCTTTGGAGTGTGAGTTTGGGCTAGACATATTTTCTGACTTTCAGTGCCATTGCCCTGTATTTCAAAATCTTAACACTAATTTTAGTAATCTCTTAGAGCTCATTTCTTTGATAAATTACCCCTCTGTGAATAAATTTGTTCTGGAAAGTTGCCTGAGGCACAGCAGAATTTTTCCCCAGCATTTCATGCCACATGATGCTAGACAGAAGGAAGCTGCGAAACCTGCTGCTGTAAATCATTCTTTGGTAAAGAAGAAAAGGATACATTTAGCCACTGGACGTATCTTTCAGGTAAGACGGAACAGCAGGCGTGAGTGTACCTGAAATGGACCAAGAACAAATTTTCTGTCCTACCTTTGCCTGTGTTACCACAGGTTATGTGTGCTGGCAGGCACAAGGCAATCCTAAATCAACCAGAACTGATCTTGGAGGGAACCATTCACCAGGCTCTTAAGAATCAAGTGGTTCTRTGGTGCTTGAGCTTTAGCTGTGCTGGGTATGTCAACTCCTTCTCCTATAAGGAACAGCCAGCAAAACAATCCCACCTTTAATTCCCCATCCCAGGTTCCTGTCACTGATTTGACCGAGTAGGTTTGGTCCAAATTTAGCAGCTATGTTTTGTGTAYGCTTTTAAACATGCCTTACCTTTCCTGAGGACACTCTATTAGCTCTTTCTGCTCTAGGTGGTTGCTGGTGATGTTGCAGATAGAAGCAGGGGTGGCAGGAGGGAGCATGAGCTTTCCAGTGGAACATGTGCCAGCAGGGACCTAGGTAAATGGAGGGGGCTGTGCACAGAAGACACCCGGGAGGGCCTCTGCCAGGCTCCTAAAAAGCTTGAGTTCATGAAGGGTGCAACTTTCACACTGTGTTTTTTTTTACCTCCAGCACAGTCCTCTACTCTCAGGCACACTGGTCTAGAATATTGCTGCTTACATTTTTCAGGAGCTTTTATAATTTTTCCAGAACATCATTTCAAACTAACRTAAGTCCATAGGAAAATCTTATTGTGAATGGGGGCTTTGTTCTGTGAGACTATTTTTGAAAATGCCAGGTTCCCTCTTAGTCATTGCATAAAAGGCTGAAGCATGGATCTATTCTTATGATTTGTTTCAGCATATTCATTCTTTCAGCCTCTCCCCCTGCTTTCTCCAAGAAATACATAGAGTTCTTCAAGGCCTCCTGGCAGGTGGGCTCTATAATGTTATGGTGGCAAACCTGTAAAGCTTTACCCATTTATACCAACCAAGCATGTGGTTCATTGCTTGTATTTTAAGTAGGTTCCCATTTTCCCAGTTTCTTTAAGGGCATTTCAATCTTTCAGTGGCTTTTTTTTCTTCCCCTATCCATCAGGGAGTGAAATTGTGCGTCCACAGAATGCAAATAACAGCTGTTTCCACTCAATTTGCATTCATATACTTAGCTCTTAAAAATAGATTATTTCTAGAGGCTTTCACAATCTATTCAAAATTTCTACTTATTCAGAGGTACTAGTGAGATGCTAATGAAATCTCTTTGGATTGGCTGATCAAAAAGGCGCAGCAACAACAATGAAATTCCCCAAATGACTGATCAGTTATGTTTCTGATTTATACTTCAGCTATTGACTGAAGTGTATCTTTTAATATCGGGGATTGTAAGATCAGTTCCTTGGGCTGCTCTAAGAGGACAAAATATGCCAGGTAAGTAGATCAATTGTTAAAAAAAATCTGTGCTGAACTGGTAATGTATTTCTAGCAAAATTAATTTATCATACAAGTACAACTGAAAAGGAAAAAAGAACCAAAACAGCACCTGGCAAACTATTTAAAGGGAACAGCTTATTTGCCAGCGTCACAGATTTTTGAATAAACAAACCCCTTATGCCCTGGGAATAACTGAAAAACAACTCTTTGGGTTTTGTACCACTATTTTCTTTTGTTGACATTTCAAGAGCCCTTAAAAGGATACACTTTTTTTATTTGGTAATGCCTAAATGAAGAGGTAATTATATCCAATTACTATGGGGTTTTTTTTGTTCAGAAAACTTTGGAAGACTTTCACCTCATTATTTTGCCAGTTGTATCAACTTAGACCATTTCTCTGGATTTCTTTGATCCTCTGAAGACTGAAAATTAAAGAACAATGACATTTAGTGACATTTGGAATAGTTCATTTACTCCAACATTGACTGTATGAGAAGATGCTTGCTCCTAAATCCAGATTTTTTTTTGTGTTACAGAAATGCACTTTCTTCCCTGATTGTTTGATTATTCAGAAGAAAAATCCTTTTATTTTTACAGAGTCTCAACTGGGGCATAACTGGACTGGAGAATCTTGATGACTCAAGTTGTTTACAGAAGACTAATTATGCATGTGAGTTGCTGGTTTTTTGTATCTGTATAAGCCTGTGCCAGACTCATTCAGACTTGGAACTCTGAACAGACAGAGGTAATCTAAGATCAGGTAATCTGAAAAATGCTGTGTGTTCACACTACTTTGTTTCAGAGGGAAAGCTTGTATTTCTAAATAAAATAAAAAAAAAAAAATTAAAAGTCCCTGATATCAAGAAGGACTTATACTGGGAATGTAAGATGAATATATATTGCTTATATTCACAGTAGCTGGGCTAGTTCCCTCTACAGCAGACTCCCATATTCAAATCCCATAGCCCTCCTTTGACTCTCTCTCATGCCCCTCTAGACCCTGCATACAGTTCTGATTTTTCTGCGTGATCTTTCAGTGTGAAGTTTCTGGAAAGATGTGAGACAGCGCTGCAGCCTGTGAGAAAGGAGCTTTCCTGGCCCAATCATGAGGGTATGTGCTGAGTGTCCCAGGATGTGGCAGCGTTGGAGGGCACAGTCAGCTTGGGCAGTTTAGAAGAGCACCAGATGTGACCTTGGGAGTGGGGCTCGGTGCAGACTGTCCCTGCAGCTCTGGGAAGTCTTGGCTTTAACAGGGCTGCTGGAACAGGGGGAGGGGTGAGAGGCATGAGGAGGGACCCTGAGCATCTCTGCTGCAGCCAGCTCGGGTGTGGTGAAGCCCAGGGTCCTGCGAGAGCTACATGGGCACTTTGGCCGAAGAATAAATGCATTGCTGCTAAAGAAATACAAGGCTTTTCCTGCATCATTCCCACAAAACCATGAGTTAAATCTTGGTCATATTGAAACAAAACACTCATCAGGTTCTAACAATTCAAGCTTTTGTCCTTGGACTGGACAAGGCCTGGCTAGGCATAGGTACTAACCACTGCTGCTCTTCTCATCACAGCCACTGCGTCACCTTGCAGACTTACCAGTGGCCTCAGTTGGGGCTCACTTCAAATCCTTCTCCACCAAACATGGCCATATAACGTAAATGAATTGTAACCCCATGCAGCCAACACACAGCATACTTATTTCAGTAATTTAATAAAAATATATGCTCTAGAATGGGAATTTCTCTGACATTTTTCTTACCTCTGCTTATGGTGAATTTCTCATGAATTTTATTTGCACTGTGCTTCTACTTTGGATAGGAAATTCTTTTTTCTTAATCCAGTTCTAAAGTTTGTGGAACTGAGATGGCACTGAGTTTCCCCATCGCTAATGCCGGAATTTTACCTGTATGAATAATGGCATGGGGGGAAGGAATTCTATAAACACCTATTCTTAGAAAATAATAAATGAAGCCATTCTGAAACCAGTCAGTATTACAAATTACAGAATAAATTCTAAAAAGCTTATGATGCCTTATGATACTTATACCAGCCAACTAAATGTTAAGTAGGGGTTAAGAAAAAAATTTCCTAGCAATTGTTTAGTATTCAATAGAGATCATCAGTGTGTCTTAACTAAAGTGAAGGTGAGGACCACTCCTGCAGCACAGCTCTGATGCAGTGTGATTCCTACAGACACTGGCTTCAGAAAAATGGTACTTAGCATATTATTTGTTTAAACAAATAAAACACTTTGAATGCGAAGCTGGCAGTGTTTAAGACAAGAAACATCAGCAGTGTTTAAAAAACTTTGTGCTAATGACCAGCAGTGTTTAAGAAACACTAATCTTTGCATGAAACTCTTAAGCTCTGTTTTGTTACCATTAGTGAGTAGGAAATACATGTTTGTACAGGAGAGTCATGCTTGAATAGTTTAATTTTCTACTTGGGTTAATTTTTATTATACATGGTAATGGCTTAGTGCAGTAGCTTTTCACTGTAAATTTTTCWCTGCTATTTTCATGGTTAACATTTTATTAGTTTTAGCAGAAGAGATGGTAAAAAACAGGTCTTCCAGATTTTTTGTTTTTTTTGAAATCTCGTATTTTGCTGGTAGGGRGATCCTTTTGCTGAGGAATCGTAAACCTTGGTAGCACTCAAAAGTGGTTTTATTTAAAAGGGTAAACTGCTTCTGACCTGAGACTGTTTTYCATCTTGACAAGCAGTAAGGCTGAATATAAGCACAACTGTTTACTGTATTTATGTTTTATAAAGACCAGTTGGCAAAACTTCTTAGTTCTGTTGGCTGTTCCAAGATCTTGTGTTGTCTCTACACAATGGAAAGGTTTGTGATACATTGATCATCACTTCTCACCTACATCATGACCCTTAATAAAGTGGCATGCTAGGCCATAAACTTCTGCTTCTCCAGAAGCCATGTGAGCCAAAATTGCTGACCAAACATCCTGTTTAGTTCATGCAACTTCTACATACCTCTCACTGTCTGATCTGCAGTGTTCCAACAGCTGTAGTTAGACAAAGTGGAACTAACATTCCATGTCAATTATATTTAAAGTTTCAGATGATTCTGTGCAAATTGCCCAGTAAATCATAGTTTATCATATTCATTTTTCTACAGGCACCTAAAGGTAACAGCTGAAATCATAAGTTCATTTTATAAGAGCTGCCAGAAAGATACATAAATAACTATCTTATTTCTCCAAACAGCTTACTATATTTTAGCATTACAGCATTGATTAAATATGAGGAGGCAAGATTAAAATTCCATATATAATACAYATTTACAAATCAAATTTGTGTGAATTAGTTTATATAGAAAACCAAGAGCTCCAATATACAGACTACATSCTGTTGAAGGCTAGCAGAAATAGCAAAAATAGTTTTATCTGAATTTGAAGAGGAGTATTTTCCTTTTACATAAATGCTCTCCTGAATAAATAAGTAAATTAAATTTTTTTTAAAAAATAAAAGAAAAAGGCAACACTGGTTTCATTTGCTCCAGTATAGATATCTGAATCTCTTCTTCATCTCCAGAGAACAATTGTGTGACATATTCTAGACAATAAAATATTAAGATCAACAGCCTCATGCATGTAATTTTTCTGTGTCAACTGGCCATAAGGGGAGCCTGAAAAGATTAACTCAGGTTTAGATGTCTAATTAGTATCTGTCTCAGTTTTGGAGACAAACCCAACTTTTATGTATTGTAGGTACACATTTTCTTCTTTTATACTGGTGACCAGTGGGTTTGCTCTAGGTCGACTTTATTATATTGTAGCATTAAAATAAAATACACATCATCTATTTCAGATGAGGAATGCAGTCTACAACTATTTAATCTCTCCATTTCATAACTTGGTATTGGCTTTGAGGATGGAATGAGTGTGTGAGAAGCAATAGCAGAAAAGCTGCTAAAATTCGTAAAGACTGGAGTTAACTGAGAAATGCAGGGCTGGCTTTAACAAGCACTCAGTACTGTGCCTTAWAATGACCTGCCACAATGATTTTTTTGTGGTACAGCAGAATTTGGGTATGAACAGACGAAGTTCAGACCTATTACAACAGCAACAAGAAAGAAGAGTTTCCTACCGAACTGAATAGCTGGAAGGGTGGAGAGGGAGAGAAGGGTGCGTGGGCAGGCGGAGGGACAGGTGGATAACTGCTGCCTTCGCAGTAGTCATGAGGAACTGAAATCAAGTCATGACACTTGTCACATGGATCCCGTTACTGCTCCACTGTCAACTGATTTTCTTCCCCAGACTGGGAGAGTGGAGCTTTTTTTTGTCCCTTAGACACCTTACAAAAGTTAAAGCAAATAGACAAAAAAGCTCTGACCCTTTCAATGCAAGCTAAAAGGGAGCTCCATTTCCCGTGGACTGTCATCACGACTGTCACCAATGCTGCTCGAGCAGCCCCGCCCGCCCGTCCGGGGTTAAAGCGGAGCGCAGAGCGCCGGCCCGGCAAGGCCACTGCTGCCTCCTGGTGGTGCCACTCACAACCTGCACCGGCGACGCACACGGAAGGAAAAAAAAAACCCTTGAAAGTTCTTTTTTGGTTTTAATTTGAGGACAATTAGAGGAGGAAAAAGAATTCTTTTCCCTAGGGCACCAAGATAAATTGAACTGCCATTTAAAGAGTCCGAAATCCCGTTCCAGAGCATTGGAACAGGCTGCCCAGGGAGGTTGTGTTTTCCCCTTTGTAAACATCCCAAACCCACCTGGCTGTGCTCCTGTGTCACCCGCTCCAGGTGACCCTGCTTTAGCAGAGGGGTTGGACRATATGATCTCCAGAGGTCCCTTCCAAACCTAACAATTCTGTGATTCTGTAATTTAAGGACAAAATTTTTGATACTTGACTGAGATTTTTAACAGCATGCAGGCAAGCAAGGCCTGAGGAAACTTTTATTTAAAAAGCAAAAATCACTCAGTAAGATTTATGCAACTGTAGAGTATCCACAGCAATGAGGCTGAGATGATCTGGAMCACTCAATAGCTACCAGATACAAAGTAAATGGCTGAGTGCCCAAAATTGGACATGAAGTACCAGAACAGACTTAACATTGTGAATTTTATGCAATTTAAGTTTTCAATTACAAAGAAAAAGAGCAACAGAAAACTGAAATCCCAAATGACTTTTCAAGTTTTTAATTTTTTTTATAGACGTGGAACAATAATGAAGTGGATGAGTTCTGAATTCAAGCTTTCAAGTGAAGTGAAACTGAGACAGTTGTTTGAGACCTAGAAAACCAAGAGAGCTTCAAATTACTGTGAGAGCAGTATTTTAATTATGTCATGCTTCAGACAACCCAGGAAAAAGATTTAGTAGAAGAAAACACAGAAAGATTGAAAGCAGCAGCACAACAGAGGGAAAGGAGATTTCAAAACATTAATGTTATGAATTAATAACAAAAGGGCAGAGGGTACATGTAGTGAACATGTGTTTTAGACAGTTTCCAGTAAGTGGTCAGAAGAGGAAGTACTTCAAAGATAGCTGCCAAGCACATCAGAGTTTTTTAGCTCTCAAAATGCCTGAAAAGCATCCAAAAGTGCTTAGGAAACATTGTGAAATCYAGTATTTCTACAGTCATAGTGGATGTTTGATCACAAACAGGGTCTGACAGGCAAGAATGGACAAATGTCATAACAGAAGGTTTCTCTGTAAAGCAAAATTTCTTAGCAGCATTAGGCAACAGTAAGCAAAAGTATAGGGGAAAGAACAGGGGAAAATAATTTTAAGTTTAAATTAGTCCAAGGATACATTTTCTTACACTGGAATGAAGTCAAACAGTGAGAAATAGGTCTCAACTTTTCAAAAACAAAGGGGACTCAATTTTATGCAGTGGAACATAACACTACATGAGATGTAAGCTCCATATGCACTAAAGTCAATACCAGGCACCATGACTCGATGAAAATAACAAAATTTGTTATACTACAAATTACTACAATCTATTTAAAAGGTTATATTCCAGGCAGAAAAAGCCATGATTGTGGCTGAACTCATGTGATTGAACTTGCAGAGTTAAGCAGCCATCCTTTGCASAGACCCCACTGACATTCCTTCACAACAGCACACGTGTTGAGTAAGCAATACATCAATAGAGAGCCAAAATCACTTGGCTGCTGTYGGCTTGAGCACAGACCGCGGTATCTTACAGGCACAACAGAGAAAAACGATTTCATGCTCTGCCACGCTAAACCATTATCAACTACCCAGCATTCAGATTTAAAAATGCACTGGAACTAAGTTTTATGTAAAAATGTCCACACCTATTTAGAGGCAGTCTTTTTACGCACATCCAACACGGCTTTTCTTCACAACTAAATATACTGAAGGAAAAAAATGGTTTTGAGTACTATCCTTTCAATCTAAGAGTTACTCAACTTCTCAGTTGAGTGGTACTCAGCTTCTAGCACAATCTGTAGAATACACACACACTGGCAAAATGACACAAGATTAACAGAAAAAACAAAACCCTTCCTTGGTTATCCAAGTTGCTTTGGAAAGGAAATGCAGTACAAATGTATGACATATATGAGGTCATTATTTTCTGAATATTTAGAAGCAACTGCTTAGAAGGCTTTATGAAGACACTGGGATCTCTACAGAGGCACCATGTTCCAAGCTAGCCATCTCTATCAGAGGGCTGATACCTAAAAGGGTAGACTGGAACAAAGAATCTCCTTTTCCTGTGAGAAAAAAAATGCTAGATGRCATAGAATACTGCAAGAGGAGTAACATTTAAGCACCAGAAAATGTTAAAGCAATGCAGTAGAATCAGACTGAATTTCTTTAAGGCATTTTATATAATAAATATATAAATCCTTCCTCCTCACTAAGCTACAAAGGGCWGGGAGACTTCAGTGATTATCTTGCTGATGTAAGCAACTTCTTCCACTGTGTTACAGCTATTCCAATTCATGTCTGAAGATAGCATCCTCACTGAGCAGTAGCTGGGGTGGGATTAAATCAACGAAAAAAACCTCCATGAACCATGAATKCACGCAGAAGTTCTCAGATACTTGAGAATGCTGCATGGTTTAGAAGGGCAAGGCACTGTCTTGGATGCTAAAAATTAACCAACTTGGCCAGTTTTGAATATACAACAATAGCCTTAAAAACAATCACTTGGCTGATGTAGAATTAAACATGGAACCAGGTATCTTACAAGTGAAACAAAAGAAGGAAAATTATCTAATTGTTTTTACAAATACCTCATATAATATTTTTCATAAAAACTATTTCATTAATACGTCAGCATTCAAGCTCACCTGCATTTCAGTTACTAGATTCCTACAGAACAAAAAATACCGTTCCCCTCAAAACCACCAAACCCTAACACATGCACTTCTAGACTTTCCATTTTGACACAAGACTTCTACGTATTCACTTGAACAATGATGAGCCTCTGAGTTTAATCAGTGCACTCCATCCCTGTTACATCATTTTCTAAGACTAGGCCATCTGCTGACCAAGAATGCACAACTGCCTTCACTGACTCCCTGTTTCATCAGTGCTGTTTGGTTGTTTTTTCTGTCAACTAGTGAAAGTAGAAAATAACAGTCAAATCAAATTAAGCATGTTCTTACAGCCTAACACGTCACTTTCAGTAACATTTATTTCCAATAAAGATTAACAGCAAAGTCCTGATGAACAAGAAGTTATCTTCGTTATCGGTCTTTAGGAGGATTAGGATTCTTGCGTCTTCTATGATACCTAAAAGAAAAAAAAAAGCTGCAGTGAGTGCAAGCTGTGGACAGTCTTTTTTCGTGATACTTTTGCCCCCAGTGATCTGAGGTTACACAAGGAAGTGAAGTACAAGATACATGAGCACAATCCATCACCACTCATTAGATGTCATCTCTGTTTTTTGTGGAGTTACATAATGCTACTCATTTCTACTGCTACATCTGCTACAAGCATGCAATAATCCTATCAGTTCTACAGCTGAAGGGGCACAAAGGCTGCTGTTTATTCTTAATCCTTTGTGTGAAGTTAATTTTATTACATGGTAAGCCTTCCCTTTGGCTAAAACGATTGCTATAGAACAAAGATATTCAAACGAGTGGTGCCAGACTGTATGTTAAATAGTGTAATATTTTGCAGAAAAACTAAAATTCTTCAGAACAAAAAAAGATCCGTACTTTCCTCTTAATTATGCACCCTAAACAAGACAGATCCTGTCTGATCTTGATTAAAGTGACAGCTACCCTTTGGTCATAAAAGTTCCTACTGTTCCATTTCTTATATCTACTCCCAAAGCACATTAATTCAAAAGTTTCCTGTGGACAACAACAAAATTTGCCTGTATTATGTCTCCATAGCTATAAAATTAGCCACTGAAAGATGGAGTAACATGGAGTGGAAGAGRGTCACACTCACCAGAATGCCAGTATCTAAATGTGCAGAGCTCCTCTTTAAGCTTAGTCATATATGTAAGTGCATCTCTGCTTCTTGATTTCTGAACACAAGGCACACCAAACTGCACTTTTCACTATTTCAAATGAAAAATCTCTACTACTCTTTAAGTCTGAGAATCATCCCATTGAGGCTGTTAAGGAATAGGCAATGCATGTTTCCAAGCTGCATTTGGTTATGTCCATTGAGGGTATTTTACATACTAGATTCTTTTTTGGACCACTAACTGGATRGTACGAGAAATTTCTACTTGTCACATATTTTACAAAAAAAAAGTGGCAAGGTTTACCAAAGGAGCAGTGTTTAAAAACACCCTCATTAAATAGTCTTCCATTTACACAACAMTGCATTTAAAATTTTATGTAATAGCCCAAATGCTAGAGGTATCTTGTTTCACATGATTCATCCCAGGTTGAATCTGATCATTAAATTATTCCTGTATTTCCYTTTACTTCCAAAAGGAACAAACAAACAAATTGAAAAGAAAATACTTACTGTCCCACAGGATACCAGCAATGTTTTGTTGTGAAAAACATTTTACTGAGCTCTTCAATTCTAGGACCTCTATTGTTCTTTAACTCTTTTTCATTCAATCTGGATTTCAAAACTTGATCAAGGTTTTCTTCTTTATTATTCACTGGATCTGGCCGTGGTATGGGCTAGCAAAACAGTAATGTATACGTATGTTCTTTTTCTCCTTTTTTTTCAATTGAGAAAGTCAAAAAGCCGAGCAAGCTGTAATGCTATCTAACAGCTGAAACCAAAGGAATACAGAAAAATGCCTGCAATTGCACGGGCTGTTTATTGTCTTCACCTGCCCACCCTGAATGAAACCACACCACTGTGGGGCAGATGTCTAGAAGCATCTATTTACCCTAGGTGCTACAGCTGATGACCCCACCCCKAAACCCAGCATTCCTGTAGTCATGATTGAGATCTTCAATCTTAAAATTCACTAGCTGAATCATAAGCTTCAGTCCTGTTAACACAAAAGTATCTGTACTATTCCTAATCAGAATTTTATTCATAGTGACCATCATCATTGCTGAAAATCTTTTGGARGACATGTACCTTTGAGAAGAAAGTCACTTCCTAATTTTTTATCCAACAGGTAAGACCACCTTGTTTGTTTTCAATTGGAAATGCAACTACTACCACTATTACAAATATTTTTTCTTGTTTTAGTCTTTTACACCTGTTTTTCTTGAAGTATGTGCAACTGATAGATTTTAAAATACTGCTATGTAATTTCCAGGCAAAAAGTGCTAACATGTTTTAGGTTTCAATGGAGGATTTTCACATTGGGTACTTCAGCAACACAGCTTCCCAGCTGCAGTATTTTACTAGAACTGAGAAATGGAAATTCAAACAAAAAGTGTACACTTTTTGTGTAGAACTCTAGAACTCTAGAAAAAATTATCTAGATGTTAAACTGCAACACTACATTTTGCCAATGTAAAGAGCACACTGAAGGTGCTGATAAAAAAAAATATTTAAAGTTCTTTGTGGCTTTTATGAACTCAGTGTTGAATGGTATTTGAAGTTCAAATTGAAAACAGTAGCAGCAGTATTTCTTTGTATTCTCTCGCCCAGTAGGACATGTGAATCATAATCAATTCCAATTATCCTCTTTGAGTAGTATACTCATAGACAGACACTAATTTCTCTGTAGTGCACACGTGTTTTAGTGYCTTGTTTAAATTTCAGTGTTACTGTATGTTAAGATACCTGAGCTTTTCTTACTCTGCAGCCTTCCCTCAATTCAACTGAGTTCCTCCTTGTGGCAGCAGCTATATTCATCACTCATTTACTTCCAAGACATGCTGATCACATACTAAAAGGTATTTCAAATTTAAAAATACGCCCTAAAGACTCAAACCTATGAACTACTAAATGCCTTTACAAGAGGCATACATAAATACGCACACTTGGACATACTTTGGTATGCTCGTACGGAATCTCAAGCGAAGGGTGGTAGCAGACAATTGTCTTCAAATCAGATGTCACTGCAAGTTCCACTTTGCTATAAAAATAAGAAAACATTCATAACCTTCAGAAGTACTGAAAAGCTAAGCAGCCCAAATCTCAAAGAAAACTGGATTTGACCATGCATTTATAATCTTCTATAAAATAAGGGTCATAAATATTTGATCCAAACTCCAATTTTTTGCTTCCTCAGTCTTTTTTTTAACTGTATTATCTTTTCCCATTTCTACACAAGTTTCCCTTGCAGCAGCACAAAAATACCTGGACTTTGTCGTAACAACGAGCATCAATGGAAATGACTAGGGTAATTTCGCTCTTCCACAAACTGCAGGGGTACTGGGGTCATCACATGCTTAGAATGAGTCCTGCAAGCTTTTTCATTTCATTTGTTTTTTTGAAACATTAACTTCACAATGGTTACTGTCAGAGACAGCCATTTAGTTAAAATTATTACATCTATCCAATATTGGTAATAGGTGTGTTTGATACCATTATATGACAACTTCATGTCAGAGAGAGWAGCCCTGGAATAAACATTACATGAAAACAACACATATCAAAGCACGTGTACATACCAATTGTAGTCATCAGGGAGAACTGAGTATGTAGATTTATGGCAAGCTCCGTCTGTAATAAAAAAACAAGAAAAGAAATCTGACATAAAAACAAGCAGAGTTGTGCCCAATTTAGTAATGTTTACATTTTCACTTTTCATTCTGTTTCAAGTCTTAATCAGGTATTATAATCATACTTAGTTTTAGGTTAACAAACCCCAAATACTGTCTAAATAGAAGTCCATTTTAGGCCACAGCTTTCTAATGCAATCAAAAAAACACAGTATGCAGGCAGCTATGACCTATACTCACCTTCCTAGTTGTATTGTTTTCCTAAGAAAAATCACAATATGAACAAAATACTTACAGAGTTCACCATTAGGAAATATATTTTATATACGTAAAGAACATTATTTAAGCAAGATCATGATTTCATTCATAGCAATATTTTTGATAAAAATCAAAATKAGGAGCTCTGACTGGACATATAGAGAAATGTTTTCCACATGAGGACAGCCAACCAGGGGACTCRGACCCAGGCAGGTTTGTGAGATCTCTGTCCATGGAGATTCCAAAGGCCCAGCAAGCCCTGAGCAACCTGATGTGCCTGCAAAGTTTACCCTGCTTTGAGCAGGAGCTTGGACCACAGACCACTCCAGATCCCTTCCCTATGGGTTTGATTTCCATTTTTTTACAGAATCATGAAATTATTTAGGTTGGAAAAGACTTTTAAGATCATAGAGTACAAACACAAACCTAACATAAGGTGTTAAATAGCCCCTCACACAGGTGTCATCCTGTAGGCATTGCCTTCCACAACAATGCAAGTGGGCACACCTAAGGAGGGCCTGGGATGTGCCTGGAGCTGACTTCTACCAGGAAAGCCTTTCCTTTATTGCCATAACCTGACAAAAATCCACAAATTTCTCTGGAAGTTTCTGTGTCCAGTGAAGCTTTTTCAACAACTACACTTTAAGAACCAAATCATGATCACAAGAAACAAGTCTTCACATGTTCTGAGTTTTCTGTTTTAAAGCTAAGTCATAAAAAGGTTTCAAATTTATCTAACATTATTTTATGTAGACTATCTTTTAATAGATTAAATAATAATCTTTCAATAGATTTAACAGGATTTTTCATCACTTCCATTACTTTAAACAATACAGGAAAAAGGCTCTCAAGAAACAAATTTTAATATAGGAACTTCTATAATTTCATCACTACTTACTTTGCAGTGGGACCCGGTTACAGGTTGCTACTGAACGCATCCAGAAAAGGTTGGACCATGCAGTTCTAAGTGACACTGACATGCTGACAGCAGAGAAGAAACCAGTCCTGGGCACTGTGGAACTCAAAGAAACATGTATCCTTTTTCTCTGCAGAACACTCTCTGAAAGAAACCAGTTTTGTAACTATTCAGGATACAAAAGACTAGCCATTAAATTTCTTTAATATCTTCAGTAAAAATAAAATTTGTGCAACACATTCTATATTGTTTATCAGTTATTCAGAAGTCCTTAAGGTAATGGCACCTATCTCCTTAACAGTCAAAAAGAGTACAAGATTTTATTTATCAAGAGGTAGTCTTTGAAGGTACCTCATCAACTCTTAGAAACACTTCCATGCCTGTGTCTTCTCACAGGTTTTTCTACTGGTACTCACCCACCTAAAATTTGCATCCTTCCTTCTGCACACTCATTCAAATTATTCCTGAAATATGTTACTCTTGTTCACAATGTGAACAAAAATACAAAGTACAAAAATAGAAGTACTTGAAAGCGACATTTGCTGTTGCTAAAATACCATCTAAATGCAGTTAATTGGTTTCAACCATCTCAAAGCAATACACCTAAAAACTGAGAAATACCATTTAGAATACCTTAAATGTTACCCAAAATTTCACAGAAGCAGAAAGACATCTTATGTTTTCATTCTCTACTGAAAAAAAATTGCTTTAAAGAGAATTTATAATGAAGCCTGAAAAAACCTAACTAGGGACAGTATAAAGACATACTCATAGAAAATAACGAAATTAGACCTATTTTAAAGTACTTCATATTTTATGCTTCAGAACATCACCAGAAATGTGCATTTTCAATTTCGATACATAATTATTCAGCATTCTCTTTACCAGTGCCAATGCTGCTGAAATTTAGGGAACACTAACACAGCACCTACAAAGTTGGTCCTAACTTGCCCTCGGGAGCTCATTAACCAAAAGAGTGCGAGGAGCACGGCGGATCTCGGCCGTCGGTTCAAGGACAGGGCTCAGGCACCAGCCCGGGTCCGGCCCCTCTGCGAGGGCCACTCCAATGTAAATGGAGACAGTCCCATCCCTGAGACGGCACACAGCAAACTCCCGCGTGTGTGCCAGCAACGCGGGGGAACTCGAAACCTGCGGCTTTTCGTTAAAGACGATATTCAGCTTTAAAAAAAAAAATAAGTCGTTAATCTGTCAAAGCAAGCAAAATAGTACCCGTTATAAAAGTCCTGAGCGCGCCGCACAGAGTTTAGCCCCTCCGAAAGCACACGCAGCCCGTGTCCGGCCTCGTCCCGCGCTCCCCTCCACAGGCCCCGCCGGCGGAAGCGGCCCCGCGCGCCTCTTCCGCCTCCGGCGGCGGCTCGTCCCGCGGCACGCCGGGACTSGTAGTGCGGGCAGTGAGTGCGGACCGCCGCCACCTCCCCTTCCGTCCCCTGCCATCCCCTTTCCTTCCGTCCCCTTCCCTCCTCTTCCGTCCTCAGCGCTGCCCCGGCCCTGGTACCGGCACCGCCTCCATCCCCTTCCATCCTCAGCGCTGCTCCGGCACCGGCGACAATCCCTGAGCCGCTTCGTGATGGTGGCCAAGCCGGGTCAGGGGAGCAAGCGGACACTGAAACACAGATTCACGGAACCAGTTAGGTTGGAAAAGACCTCTGAGATCATCCAGTCCAACCTTTGACCCATCTACATCTTGACGCCGATACCATGGCAATAAGTGCCATGTCCGGCCCTTTCTTGAACACCTCCAGCCATGGTGACTCCACCAGCTCCCTGGGAAACCCGTTCCGATGTTTTACAGTCTTTCCTGTGGGAGGAATTCCTCATGATGTCCAGCCTGAACCTCCCCTGGCTTGAGGCCACTTCCTCTTGTGCTGTTGTCCACAAAAACTCAGATTCATTACCTGGTGTTCCACAAGCCAATAATTAGATGCTGTGGACAACACTGTTGCTGGTTGTCGAACTCCCACCTTACAGTAACCTCTTTCCAGGTACTTGTAGAGTGTGATCTGTGAACCTCCTCCAGGCTAWACACCCCCAGCTTCCTCAGCCGCTCCTCATAGGACTTATTTCTGGTCCCTTCACCAAACACTCGCCACTTGCTCTTGGTGCTCTGGTGGTTCCTGAACTGGGAGGGCTTTGGGAGCTCAAACCCACAGTGGAGACACTGAGGCAACCGTGGCATCAGCAGCAGTTGTTCAGCTGGGGGAGAGGGCACGATTTTATGTAGATGAAATAGCATGTTTCCAATATTCAAGGTATATGGAAAAGGTATTCAAGGTATATGGGGCACCTGAATGCCCCAGGCACACTACTGCTCTGGGGTTACTTGCTGTACTTTTTCAGAGACTTGAGTCACAAAGCATTTCAAAGACAAAGTTATATTTACAGAACACTGATAAAAGACAAGAGGAAAAGAAAAAAAATCAATTGTATGGCCTGCTGTTCTAGTATCTGAAATGGCTCCAGCACTTCAAGTTTTACACATCCATGAAGCCTTTAAGTCACATCAGCAGACTGTCTCTATTCCTGTCATTGCATTATCCTTTTGGAGATTCTTAGGTAGGGTCTCCTGAAAAGCTGCAACCTCTTCCAGGTATCTTCCAACCATTGTATCTTTTCTGGTCATAGGCTGTGATACTACAATTTCCTGCTGCCATCAGTGAAAGTCTCACAATTTCAGTGATGTTTAACTGTATTCTGTAGTTGCAGAGTTGTTATTGCTCTGAAAACTTCCACAAGTATAGCAGAAGTATAGCCAGAAATCACTAGTCAAGAGCTGGTCACTCCCAATAGCAGTGACAAAGGTTACTTTTTGAGTATTTTTCTATACAGTGGAAGATGGAAGAGATCCATTTCAGGGCTTCTTGCAATACTAGAGTCATTACACCGTAGGAAAAGGGGAAGAGATGGGCCAAAATGTTTTATGTACTACTTTGAGAGATGCAACCAAGGTGAGAAATCACAGGTCCACTGCAAGGCTCCTCCAGATTTGTGGAGATAAACTCACTGTCATTCCAGCAAGTTTCTGTGTGCAGCTACAGAGGTGCCTGATCTGGGCTTATGCTCCAAACAGAAGCAACACAGTTCTATGATGTATTTTCTGCTGTGTAGCAGCTCATGATTCCCACAAGGAAATCCTTATACTAGAATGAAGACAACATCCTATACGATCAAGAAATCATCCAGTACAAGGAAGACAGTGGTTCTACTGATATACAAATAAAACACTTTGAGGATTTTAAACTCCAGAACAATGGTGAAAAAAAATGAAATGCTAATAAACTATCTGAAACAAGTGCACTCTGAAAATTAAAAKAAATGAATGAATCTTCATTTAAAGAGTGAGCTTCAGGAATATCTTGTCCGTAGGTGGAGTGGGGATAAACAGTTATTTTGGAGTCACTCTTGCCAGAAACAGTTTGTGACAATGAGGGAACTCCTCAGGATTCTCACCTTTCTCTTGGTCAGCTGCAGTGTGACATACCTGTATGCAAAAATCATTTGCTGTCCAGTGTAAAACTTGGAATTAACTCCCTTCACAGCTAGAGACTACTGTAAATTTCACCTGTTTCTTTTTCCTGTGCAAGACACTTTTTTTTTAAAATTTTCTCTGCATGGAGCAGCAAATTAAAAAAAAAATTAAAAACCTCCCTAGCCCCTTAGAAACAGTTTCCCAGAAAAAAAAAAAAAAAAAAAAACCTACTAAATCTTTATATGCTTGAGTATAGTAGTCATGATTGCAATATAAGACTTCTGCGGTGCTCCTATGTTACTGTTTTCTACAACAATTTATTTGCTTTAATAAAGACAATTTTTTTTACTCTTCAGTGCTATATGTACTTCCTGAGGACTGAATACAGTCACACACTTGAATACATCCATGCTCTCCTCAGACACAAGTTCAAAAAAGCAGAGTTTATAATGTTACTGATGATTGTGACCAACAAGTCTCCTAGGGGTGGGATTTTCTAGGCTGGTGGCRTTGAGCTGTTAACAGCTAAGAAGCTAATTCATTAACAAGATTGTAAAGATCAACAAAAGCTTTAATTTGAAGCTACAGTCTATACTACATGCTTTCAGTGATGTATTTTTTTTCTGTAAGGATTTTATTGTGGAAATGTGAGCTTTTAGAACATTACCATAATGGCAAATCTTGTAACTTAAATTCTAGTTCTAAAAAGTTGCAATTGAAGGTACCACAGAACTTTATTTTTATTTTTTTAAAACTGAACCACATACCCTGTTAGTCTTCCAGGCTATTTTTAGGTGGTTTCTATAAAAAGATTTTTAGGAGGTAGTAGATGAGGTCTACCCCCTCCCTGACGCATGATGTTCTGAAAGTCTATACTTAGCAGCAGTTTCTGACAGATTACAGCTGGTAGGGAGATGGGAATTGCTTAAGGACAGCTCAGAAGYGTGACTACATACCTCTGCAGCATGTCTGGAGATGTGGTTACTAATAACTGCCAAGGGCCTTGCTGCCTCAGCAGCTTGTAGACAGCAAAGAGGGCAGTCACTCAGCTTGTATTGGCTCAACAGAAGGGTTGTTCTCTCTGTTGCCTGTGGAGATACTATGGAGGCACTAATGCTGAGTTCCAGACCTCTGGGACTTTGTGTCTTTGGAAATCTGGAAAGTTTTGTTTCTAGGTTGCTTCTCACTGGAGATAAATCATCAACAGTCAAYTACAAACCTCTCCAGAAAATGCTCAAAAGCTAATCAGGTAGTTGAACTACAGTTAGGCATCAGACATTATGTAGTGATGAGGGCAGGACTATGTTGGTTGGCTCTGTTTTAGAAGAACAAATTTATAAATCAGAGATATCATCTGCACTGGCGTGGGTTTTGTGTGAGCAGCACACACACACACTTCTGAGAAATGGAAAATTGGGACCTGACTGTTCTAGCTCCTTTGCTGCAGTGGCATATTTAGTGGCAGTGTTACTTACTAAAATCRTTCAGGCTGGATCATTGGCAAACTGAATATAACACTTGGATTTTTGTTTTTTTTTTCATTGGAATGTTTCCTAGAAAAAAAGCATTTAGCTTTGTTTCCATTTAAACTGGCAAGGTACTATACAAACATACCTACAAGTGGACCTGAATTTGTGAATGGATGGATTTGTTTTATTGCAAAGGTTATGTCTTAACGATGGGGATGGATGGGCCACCAGTCCTGAAATACTCCATCTTGATTTCATTTTTCATCTTTCATTTTTTATGAGGTTATCCTATAAATGTATAAATCAAATTTCTAATGAGACACTAGTTTAGTTATGGTCTTAATTCTTAAATTTTCTCAAGTTACCTTGCAGACAGAYAGATGTCTATGTTTTAAGTCAATCTGTAAACACTGAGAATAAACTCCAAGGCTTACRTGAGTAGGCCCTCTTAATTCTTTAGCATATCTCACACCATCTCAACACTGGTCCATCCTGTTACTGGTAAGGAGGAAACTGCAATTGTAAATAACAGATGACAAAACTAAAGTGCCTGAGCAATCATATGCAGCCTAAATAATTTATGTTCCTGTTGATTACCATTGTTCAAAGAAACAATATTATGCCTCTATTCAAGCAGCCACTTAATGAAAAAATCAAAAGTCATTTGCTATGGTTAAAGCTCATAGCATCCCAATTTGATGTTCTAAGATGGTAAAACATATAACTGGTGGGGGTTTCTTCTCTGCTCAGTACAGTTTCACCCAGTCCTGCCAGTTCAGATAATTCAGAAATTGCTCAGTGACATTCTAAATTGCTGCTGAATGAAAAATACTGCACTTCTGTGCCTTAGTTTCCCCCTTTGTACATAGACATCGTAACTCTTGTGCAAATACTCTGGGATTTATATATAAGATATATATAAGAAATATAAGATCGGGATATTACTGTGAGTTTTCATTCTGTATGTGTACATACACACATCTCGGTTTTGCTGTAGAACAGAATTTCTACAACACTTGGCAAAAATATAGAAATAATTTTCTRAAAAAACAAAGAATCTGGGGTTTGAAATAGTTTTAATTGCCGCAAGATTTCTCTAAGATGGCAGAGAGGGATAGGAGGAGGAAGTAAGATTAGTCAGCCACYGGCTCAGCTGGCCCGGATGCACCTACTCAGTGAGTAACTCCATGACAGAAGAAGCTGTCACAGGAAGATGGGCAGCAGCTGTATTTAATTGTTCTAGGAGTATTAATTGCCTAATTGTAATTACTTCTTTACCTTTCCTGCCCATAGTAGTACTAGAGGTGACTAAGGTGGTTGCCTAACTTTGTTCTTGGAATCATTGTAATTGCAGCAATGACGTGATAATCACAGATTTGTGGGAGGACGATTGTGCTCTCCATCCTGGCCTTTGCAATGGTGCACTGAGAAAGATCAGCTCAGCTAACAGAACAGGCCACTGCTGCAAAAGGGGGTGGTCCTACATCTGCATCATCTCACTCTGTTTCCCACTGCTTCTCTTGTGCCAGTTCTAACGCCTCAGTTAGCGGGTCAGAAAGGTAATTTAGCCAAARCAATCCCCACAACAAACCTCCTATAACTCAGTAAATACATACCAATGGCAAGAGGGGCAGGGAAAGGGAGCAGGAGTTCAGTGTTGCCTGCAGCTTCTCCAAAAGGCTAAGGGCCATCCAAAGCTAGGTTAATAACACATGGATACTGCAAGGTGTAATTTCATTCGCACTTGTGTTACCTTGTGTCATCTGGTGCTTGCCAGACCCCACTGCAGGCCAAACCAATTCACCAGTCCAGCGGAATACCAGACTGAATGGCTGTTTTTCTGCCAATTTAGTGTATTGCATCAGCTCAGAATGAACAGTGGTGGAAATACTGTGCGGAAGGAAGGAAGGAAGGAAGGAAGGAAGGAAGGAAGGAAGGAAGGAAGGAAGGAAGGAAGGAAGGAAGGAAGGAAGGAAGGAAG